ATTCAAATTCATGGTGGTAAAGACAGATGCAGTGTTGCATGGATACAGATCAGGGTGTGACGGTAGGGAATTTGGGTTTCTCACAGAGTAGATGGAAAACTTATTTGTGATCTAACTAATTTCTGTATTTTACAGGGTCTTCCAGCCTATGACACACCTGAAGTGTTTGGTCTCCACCCAAATGCAGACATAACATTTCAGAGTAAACAGGCTAAAGATGTGCTGGATGCCATTCTCAATATTCAGCCAAAAGACAGCTCCTCAGGAGGAGGGGAGACCAGAGAGGCTGCGGTGTCCAGACTGGCTGACGACATGCTGGAGAAACTGCCTCCTGACTACGTACCATTTGAAGTATGTTTGTGTTTCACTGCGAATAGCCTAAGGCAAACGACTGAAGTTAGGCATAGTGTTCACTGTTCCTTTCATGACATGAGCTGGGCTGATTGTCTATTGTGGTGCAGACAGGGATAGGTGCTGTGAATACAGCTGGATCCAGCTAAAACCTTGTTTTTTTTTCCCTAGTCCCTCTTCTCCTCTGTCAAAAAAAAAAAAAAAGTTGAGGCGAGATTATGGCTCTGAAGCAAGTGCAAAGCTTTTCTGTCACCTACCATCACACCATGTAGCTCAAACTCTCCCTTAAACTCTCCCTTCCCTGTGATTTGCTTACATGGGGAAGAAGTACACGCAAAGCATTCCAGGATATATCTGGGTCATCTGAGGGCTTTATTTTCTTCTCATACACTTCTTAGACACTTTTCTTTTATGACCCTCTGCCATTTTCAAGGGCCGCGGTGAGCTTCAATGACTGTCTTAAACCGTTGCACACCACAGACATCCACCGCAGAAAAAGAAAAAGAGCCTTATGTAAACATATCACCAGAATGATTGACAATTAGGAGGTCCGCTTATTTAGAGGATCCACCTGGAAATAAAAGACCATCCATACCTTTAAGAAAAAAAAAAGTAGCATAAAAAAAAAGAGACCAAAAGTCGTGAGCAGGCAATTTATTCAGAACAACAATAAACTCAAATAGGCTGTTTATCAGCTGATTAAAAGTCTAAGACAGCTTTTAAAAGCCAAAGTCGGTACAAAATAAAATTAATGCCATGTCATTTCCTGTCAGGTAAACACATTTTGAAGATCTCGTAATGTGCATATGCAATAAAGCTCACCGTCTTTGAACAAGGTGGGACTGTTAAGCTGCATAAACAAGCTTCTCACAACATTCCATCACTGCTGAGGTTGAACGCAGTAAGGCAGTCATTTCTTCAAAGATCCTCAGGGTTATGGAGCAAAAAAAGTCAAGCTTTATACCCCAACATATCTCAAGTGACACAAAGGGGGAGTGTTGGAATGGCTGTCTGTCAAGACACAAACCATTAAGGCCATTACTGGTGCTAACTGTAGCCATCAGCGAGCACCCACATACAGTAGGAAGACTTCAAAGGTCACATCTCCTTCAATGCCACAAAATTGCCCAAACACTAGAGATTCAAAGGTGGAAGAAAGACTTATTTACTGATAAGAGAAAGTCTAACTTTAATTGTCTTGATGGCTTCCAGTATTAATGGCATGCCAAGGAGGTGCCAGCTGATAATGGTGAAGCTAGAGTCAGTTTTTGAATTGAATTTCTGTTTTAGGAGGTTGCAGGGTTTTTTTAGCTGTGCTCTTAAACATTCGATCAGATGATGAACAGCCTGTTTGAGTTCATTTGTTGTTTTTTTTAGGAGTGTACGAAGATGAGTGCGGATGGATGAGATAAAAGCAAAAATAAAAAAGACCAAAAAGAGAAACAGGCAGATGTAGGATTGCCAGGTGATTAGAGACCTTACTGGTCAAGATTCAGAAGTTGGAAAGTTATTTACTCTGAAAATAAAGCCGAACAGGGATTTTAGACCATCTGGAATTATCTTAAATTGTGAGAATTAAGATGTATTTCTTAATTCTCAAAAGTGGTGTGTGTCCATTTTTGCATCTTTCCTAATTTTGTTTTCTGTTATTCTTCCATTATTTCTTTTATGGTTCATTCATCTCTAACAAGGCAAGGCACATTTATTTCTATAGCTCAATTCAATGCAAGGACAAATCAGAGTGCTTTACATGAATCTGACAATAAATTCAAAGAAAACTGAAAGCAGAATAAAAGCAAAGATAATCCTTTATCTTTCCGTTCTTCAATCCTCCTACCCATCTCCTTTTCTGGTGAGACATTCTTATTCATCCTTCAACCATTTCCATCATTCTATTCACCTTGCTGTTCATGCATCCACTTTCAATCTGATTCTGTCATTTACCTCTCTGTCCATTAATCCATGAGTCTGCCCATTCCTGTGTTAGCCTCTTTGTAGGGTTTTTTTTTTATCTGGGGACATTTAAAGGTGGTTTCTTGGGCATGTTTATCATCTATGAATTCTGTCTCTAGCATATAACTGAACCATATTTTTACTACTAACAAATTATTCTGTCTCTGCATATTAATATCCGAAAATGTTTGTAAGGTTATTTAAAATGTTAAATTGAAGTTAATCTGATGGTTTCACAGAGGTTATTTCTTGGAATCGTTAAAGGGCAGAAGGGTCACGACGTACAGTAATTTAAATGTGTTCGTTTTAAATCAGGTACAGGAGCGTCTTCAGAAGATGGGTCCCTTTCAACCCATGAACATCTTCCTCCGCCAGGAGATTGATCAGATGCAACGGGTCATAGCTCTGGTCCGAAACACTCTAATGGACCTCAGGCTGGCAATCGATGGGACGATCATCATGAGCGAGAACCTGCGTGATGCTCTGGACTGCATGTATGATGCACGCATTCCTGCACGCTGGAAGAAGGTCAGCTTTCCACAAGAATAATGTTCCTTAACCTGTTACTCAGCCACATTTTTTCATACTCAAAGCATTTATGTAATAACTTTGACTACCTTTTCCTTTTCACTGTGTTTTGTCCCCTTGGATTTAGATGATTCCTTCACTTTGATTTGTTGGGGTTCCATTTTGTTTTTTAGTTTTGTTTACATCAAAGTAGCAGGAAATATTCAAGCTGATCCTACTTCCTTCATTATAATCCAAGAGTGTTGCAATGATTTATATTAGGAGGCAGGAAATGCATTCAGATCAGTCTGCGTAGGAATTATGCTTGCAACCCATAAAGAAGCCAGTTCCCCTTTTTTCCCTCTACACAATCTGAAAATTCATGTTTTAAATCAATTTAGAAGATGAAATATGAGAGCCAAACATGCTGAGACTTGATCAGGGTTTAAAAAAAACACAGTTGCTACAGAGAATATGTTCACCTATCTCACAAATTAAATGCTTTACCAAATGTTGTTCAATTAGCAAATCAAAGTGAAAATTAGAGCATTTTAGACAGGCATCCTGGCTGAAGTCTGCATTGTCCCCATTTTGTCTGTTCTCCTCTGTGACAGTGTTTAATCCATCAAAAGAATATTTAGACTATGTTTTTGTTTGTTTTCCTTGCAGGCATCATGGGCCTCCAGCACCCTGGGGTTCTGGTTCACAGAGCTGCTTGAGCGGAACCACCAGTTCCAGGCTTGGATATTTGAGGGCCGACCTAACTGCTTCTGGATGACGGGCTTTTTCAACCCGCAGGGCTTCCTGACAGCAATGAAACAGGTACACATGGCCTCAATCTGGCTACCCAATACTCTCTGCTAGAGAGGAGACCAGATGGCGCACACAGGGGCAGGCAGGCACACAACCACAACACACACAAGTGGACACACAATCACAGACCGGCCAGTATAAACACTAATTTATCTTAATGTAGAGCAAATGAGTACAGGAGAGAAATAATTTAAATGTTTAATTTTAATGGAGCCACATTTAGAGGCTTGCCCTCATGTTAGAAGGCATCAGTATCTCTCTCCTCACTAAAGCAGTTCTAAATCCAAGATTCAGATTAGAAACGAAAAACATAAATCTTAAGATCAAATAAAAAGCTATCAAATCTGGGAAAATAATTAAGTTGCTTGAATAAAAGGAACACAGTTGTTGCCTTTTATAGAGTCCTCCATGTTGTCACACATAAAAGATCACTGTACCGACGTATGAAACACTGGCTTTAAAGCAAGCTTCCTTCAGTTTTTCACTGTATTATCTGTGTTAACATATTTGCAATCTACAATTTTAACCATACGAGACGAAAATAGAATTGATTTCATTTTGTCAAGAAATAAGAAAATGAACTTCAGTGCTTGGTACTAACTGCTGACCCATATAAAAAAAAGCACTCTTGATTAATTTGATTCAGTTTTCAGCTCTTCTCAGAGGGACAAAAACAAAAACTTGGATAGAAAGAGATACATTTCCCACAGGGAGTGACTTCAGATCATACCTAATAGGCTAAGTTATTGTATTGGTTTAACAGGAGCTGCTTTGAAATATTGTTCCTAAATCTATCAGACCAATCCTTTCCTGTGGCTTTTTGAAACTATAGGCTTGCCTCAATTCAACAAAATGCTGGTCTGCCTCACACCTATGTATTGTTCCCGCTTCTTTTTCAGCATGTTTGAGCCCCTTAAAACATTTATTATCCTTGATTATTAGATGATATTTCATTATCAAGTGGGAATGCTTATGCATTCCCACTTATTGTTGTTCACTTTAAATCTTTCTGACTCTAACTAGTCCCGCAGTTTTCGACCAATTTCAACAATTTTGGTATCAAAACGTTCAGCTTGTTCAGCAGAATTGTGCTATGTCTTTTGGTAAAGATATTTTTTGTAGTTTTCGCGATATTCTGCTTTTTCTGCTGTTTTTTTGTCCCATTGAAATGCATGTAGAATTCTTAGATTTCAGCAAAATTCAGCTAAAACTTTATCATCTTCGACCTTTAACTACTTCAGCATACTTTCAGCTAGAAACACCATTCAACTTTTAAAATGTTTCTGTATCTTTCTGCCTTTAATGTTTAACTCAGCTTTTTGCTAACTTTTACAGTTTTGCTTCAGTGAAGCTTCAAACTTTAAAAGAAATTTTTAAGATTTTCAGATTTATAATGGAAGTCTATGGACGGAATTCTTCAACTGCTAGAGTGCGTGCTCTAGCTTTTGAGCTGTTCTGGTTTTTCCGAACAAATTCTTCTCACTCCCTCATTTTTCACTCAATTGAAATAAATTATACATCAAAATGTGGGGATTTTTGTCAGGATTCAGGAAATGTAACCCTCATTTGTGTGGCATTTACAATTTTCCGACAGTTTGGCCCAGACCACGAAGAAGTCCACACTTCCCCAATAGAAATCCAATGAGAGACTTTCCAAAGATCACAGACAAAATCCAAAACGATACATATTTTCGTATCGCTCCCATTTCTTAACTATTTGATGTACTAACATGAAACTTGGTATAGAACATCTTCAGAACCTTCTAGCACTCACATTGAAGGAATTTATTCAATATCATTTATGATTTAGCTGTTTAGCTAACTTGTTCGTGCATAGGAAAACGTTGATTCTGAGAAAAATCCTCAAACTCAGAAAATGCACATTTTTACATCGTCACCGTGGCCAAATAGTTTTTAGTAGAAACATGAAAGTTGGCACAGTCGAAGCCGAAGGATGGCTGATGTCCACGGTGAAAGAATTTTTTGAATACCTTTTACGGTTTTGGCTCACCACTCGTTTGTTCGGAGGGGAAGTTTTGCTTTTGACAGCTCACCTCTACCATGGAACTCCATGTTATTTAATGAGACCAGCAGGATTTACAAACCTTTATATTTCTCCTTCCCATTAAGGCTGTAAATTATGTACAGCAATGAACGTTATCCCAATTGGAGACAAAGGATAGCTGTCGCTTAGACTGAAAGAATTTTTTAGATACCATTTACGGTTTGTCTTCAACACTCGTTTGTTTGGAGATGACATTCCCATTCAAAAAAGCCTGAGAGGAAAGGAATGAAAGTGAAGCGCATGTCTCTCTGTCACTGACAGGCTCGTTAAGCGTTGTCAAGGTAACCGAGCTTCAAAGGGATTTTACCTCTACCACTTTAAACAGCACATTTTAATCTAATGGAGGGAGACAACACTGATTTAACATTTGAAAATGGATACAATATGACTACTGGCCATGACCCTTCCCTTCACACGCAACCCTGATAGACTTTCAAAATAAGACTCCGGGGACCCTACAAAATAAAAGCCCCTACATTAAACTCATTTTTTTCCCAGCATATGGCTCAACATTATGACCCAAACTCAATGACTTTTTTAGAATTATACTCTAGGGGGGGTTTCAAAACCCATCCCACAGCAAATTTCAAAATAAAAGCCTCCCATTGCCACTTCATCTACTGCCCTAATAACAGGGGAAAAGAGTGATTTAAGGATTGAAAAGTCATCAAGTATCACTGCTGGGTCTGACCTTTTTCTCAACACACGACCATGCTAGACTTTTAAAATAAGACTCCAGTGACCCTACAAAATAAAAGCCTCTATATTATACTTGTGTATTAATTGATGCAAATGGCTCAGTATTATGACCCAAACTCTACCAGCTTGTTTCTATTAGACTCTAGGGACCTTTTCAAAACATACCCCAGAGCAAATTTCACAATGAAAGTCTCCCATTTACGCTCTAATACAGCATCTATTCACCCAATACCATGGAAAACCAGTGATTTCATATTTAGAAATGGATTCTTTATCACTGCTGGGCATGACCCTTCCCTTGACACACATCCATGATAGACTTTCGAAATACGACTAAAGGGACTCTACAAAATAAAAGCCTCTTTCTTACATACACTCATTCATTGTGCCGTATGGCTTGTAGCTATGACCCAAACTCAACCAATTTCTTCAAATTACACTACCAAGGCCTGTTGACCACACACCTCAGTGCATATTTCTTAACCAGGTTCTAAGATTTACACTGTAATAAAGCATCTGCTAACCTCGTAACATGCAGCCTAAGCCTGCCAACGGTGCTGTCATCAACACAGCGGCTTGTAACATGCAGGTTCAATTTTTTGATAAATTCAGCTCCTTAAGTGGTATTAGCTCTCTTTCTATAAGCTTCTCTCTCAGTCCTTCATCTGCTTCTCATGGTCAATCTTGCACATAGGTTTGTAGATTTTCAATCCTCAAAGGATGACACTGTTTTCTTTATGCTGATCAACTGACACATTTTAAATCATTTCAAATTGTTTTGCCAAGTCTTGACATTTCCACAATTTCAAAATTTTGATACTTATTCAATACCATCTTCCTCAACATTTTACTTCCCATCCTTGAGCTACTCATATTTTCTTCAACCAGATAAGATTCAAGTTTTTCTTTGTAATTTATTTTTCTGATTCAGCTAATTGAATATTTTTCAGCCTATGCTGAGAACTTTGGCTTCATTTTTCTCTCTTTCTTGACAGGAATTAAGCTCTTCTGTTTGCTGCTAATTCATAACATGCCTGACTTGTTTCTGGGCAGTAGGTCGCCCCCCTTCAAAATTTCTTTAGAAATTTTTCTAGAAACTTGGGAGACATTATATTAAGACCCTTCTAGTACACACATTAAAGACATTTTTTTGAAATTATGTATGGTTTGGCTGTGCAGCTTTTAAGATGAGTTTGTTTCTGCCATTTTACTGCCAAATGATTCTACCCTACAAAATCTTCAGATGATTCAATTGTTTTCTGCAGTTTGAACTTTCTGATGACTTCCTATCACATTTTCATATGTTCTGCAGTTAATTTCAACTTTTTTTCATTCAGCAAGAGCATTCCCACTTGCTGTTTCTCCGAAACAGCTTTTTCTAGTTGATCTCTTGAGATTTCAAAGCCACTGGTGCTACATAAGTAAATAAACCAGGTTAAAAATATCCAGTTAAATTTAGAGAAAAATATAAAAATTTGGGTTTCCGTTTTTTTTTAAAGCTGTTTGACTGCATTGAAAAATGGGAAACTTTAACCTTTATGTTTGGTTTTGGATAAATGATAGTGTTGAACACAAAGATATTCAAATGACCAAAACAATAGATTTCCATAATGAAAAGCTGCTGAAATTACCTGCATATAAATTAACTGAGAAGTAGAGCTTTTTTTTTTGTAACAAGTTCATCTTTAGCTTGTTTTTTTTTTAAGCAAACCAATTTGTTTTGCTCTTTAAGGTTGCAGTGGGAGTAACTTGGAGTCATTTTAGTATTTATGTCAGGTTTCGGTGTCTGTCAGCTTTTCTTCCCCCCATTTTGCACTGAAGAAAAATCCCAGCTCTTTAGAGACAGAAAGTATGGATGATGAAGCAGTCTCATTTTTATTGTGGGCAGATTTGTAGACCTTGTAACAGCCACAGGAATTCCTTTTTTTAGCTTTTAAAGAAAACATCACCTCCTTGATAAGATCATCAGTTTGTGTACAAAGTGATAAAAACAGAAGATTTTTTTCCTTTCATTTTTTCAGTTTTCACATTATTTATCTTTACATCCTACGTTTTTTACTTTGATACAGCCCTGTTATCTGACATTATTCCAAAATAATAAACGAAATGTCTTCAACCACAGGGACATCATCCTGTTGTTTTAACCGTTTTTTGGATTATAAAAAAAAAAAAAAAAGGGTGCCGTGTATCTGCCCCCTTTTATGAACTGCTGTGTTGTAGTGGTAACATTGTGACCTTAACCTGAAGATTTGCACATTTACTCTCAGGAGATTACTCGCGCCAACAAAGGCTGGGCCTTGGACCGCATGGTGCTGCGTAACGAGGTAACCAGGTGGATGAAGGATGACATCAACAACCCGCCTGGAGAGGGGGTGTATGTGTACGGTCTCTACCTGGAGGGGGCCGGCTGGGACCGCCGCAACTGCAGACTTGTAGACTCAAAGCCCAAGGTTCTCTTTGAGATGATGCCGGTGATCAGGATGTACGCAGAGAATAATGGTAAGGTTTCTGATGAAAAAAAAGCATGACATACAATATGAATGGATAAGCTTTAATCCTGCCCAATTTAAGATGATCTTAAAGTCTCACTCCCCCTCATGGTGTTTATCCCACAGAGTCACTGGATACATGAATGATTTAAATGTCGTGAAGACTTAAATTTTATTCTTTTAGGAAATACATTTCCTCCAGTTTGTGCAAGATAAGGCCAGAGTGTACTGATTTGCAGCAAGATATAGTATTACTGCTTACAATGATCAGCAGCCAGCCCTTTGCTCCCTGCTTTAACACTAACAACAGTTACCTAAACATCATTATGCAATGAGCAGAGCTGAAAGGGCATAAAGCAAACTTTACACTGGCATGAAATTTTGTAAACTGATCATAAGATTAAGGATCACTATAAGGGTCATCATTTTGTTTCATTACATCACCATAATTAGGAGGGATTTTGTGATGAACTTTCCTTGGGTGTCATGATACAACAATATATGCCAATTTATTTCCATTTTGACATTTCTGCCTTTGGTTGCAAGACATAAACATGGGGATACAACTGGTTTAAAGCCACATTAAACTTGTGGCTTAATTATGGAAAACAATAACACCTCTACCATTCATCCATCATTCTGGGCACTCATAATCAACACTGTTCTGTTTGTTTTATTGTTTTACAGCACAGGCAGAAACACAACTAGCTTTGTTGTCTATAGGGGGAGTTGGACAACTCTACATTTCGGCAGTGCTCCTAATCTGAATCAAGCATGCCACACGTAAACATGTGCCATGATCTGATCATTTTGCATCCACACAAACATCTAGTTCAAATTTATTTGAATTAAATCATAAAATGTTGTGCATGTTAACAGTTTAAATTAAAATTTTCTCCACAGTGGTCAAAGTTCCTGGCCACGGCACCTTTCTTCTTTTCTACACTGCCTTTGGAAAACTACACAGGGTTTCTCATGGTTTTCTCTCTTTACAATAGTTTCTCTTTTGCAGCCTTTCAGAAAGGCCAGATTTGAGGAACGCAGGTTTTATGGTTGTCTTGGTAACAGAATCTCCCACCTGTGATGTTGATGTCTGAATTACCATGGGACCATTGGCTGTCTCTCTGATTAATGCTCTCCTTAACCAGCCTGTCAGTTTAGTGGATGCCCATGTCTTCCCGCTCTTATCCTTGACCTGTCTAGTGTGTTAGTGTGACAATTATTTTGGTGCTTTTAATGTATCCAATAATTGTATATGGAGGCAGACATCAGTCGTACTTTTTTTTTCCATGGAAACCTGTTGTCATCACTGCCTTTGAGGTAAATGAAGCTGCAGTGGCACATAAAAGAGTTTGTTTACACTTGTTTCCATTTCTTACAAGGAGGCTGGTTCCTGACAGAGATCCATGTTATAAGAGGCTGAATATGTGCAGATTACAAAAGTCCTGCCTTCTTGATCACTCGACCATCACCTATAAAGACTCACTGAAGATTTGATTTACAGAAAACATCCAGTTATTTTTTCATAATGACTCGCAGACAAAGGGGAGCCAAATCTCTGCTAAAAACAATTACGTTGAAAAAGGAACTATAACAATATTATCCTAATTCGAGTTATTTTACCACTTACTCTGCATGAAAACAGATGTTGTTAAACACAACTGGATGTCTCTGTGGCACCATGCCGATGCTAGTATTTCAGAAACTTCAAGTAGTACCACTTAAGATGTGTGATTAACAGGCAGTTTTACCAGCTGCTGCTCCTTTTGAGAAGACTTTTTTTGCTTTGTGTTGCAGGAGTGAGGGATCAACAGAACTATTCTGCTCCAATTTACAAGAAGCCAGCAAGAACAGACTTGAACTACATTGCAGCTGTGGATCTTAAAACTGTGTTTCCTCCAGAGAAATGGATCCTCAGGGGTGTGGCTCTTCTCTGTGATGTTAAATAATTTCTTCATGTTTATTATAAATATAACACAATAAAATTGTTGCATTTGAAAATAAGACTGTCTCAATTGGATTAAACTGTGTAATTAATTTATGATGAAATGCTTTTAGGTATTCATGAAAAAATAATAACTTAATTTTTACAGGGAATCTTGTAGGGGGGGCAGGAGGTGGATATACAGGACCGATAATGTCCAGAGGAGATTAAGAAAAATACTTCTAAAAATGTTATTACAATTCTAATAATTCTAATTTAAAATGAGTTTTTTTCAATGGGAAGTAAATGTGTAAAGCTTAGATTTTACTTTTAAATAAATCTGTCATTACATTGAACAAAAGATATCAAAAATGCATCTAATAAATTAAACAAAACCATCTTCTTTGTTCCATAAAGAAAAAATAGGCAGCAAAAGCTGCTACTATAGCAAAGCAGGTGAGTTTTAATTTAAGACAAAGGCAGATAAGGCTCTACATCCTAGTTATAGCACATTCATCTAAAACCTGCTTAAAATGGATCAGTCAGGTGCAGAAAATCAGACTGCTCAGCTAAATGTTGTATAACCCCAAACCAGAAACATTTGGAAGAAAATGTTAAAAAATGAAAGAAACATCTGAAATAAAAAACTACCTTTTAACAGTTAGGAAATGTCTGTGAGGTCTGATTGGTGAAAAAACAGAAAATATGTGACCTAGAGTGTCCTTTTAACGTTTTATGTACCAGTCTGTCAGTAGACTGTGATGCAAAGGTGAATTAATCAGCATGATATGAGGATGTCTGTCCTCTCCCCTCTTACCCGCTGCCTCATATGTTAATATTTATGAGGGATAAATACAAAGTAAAACAGTATCACCTTTCTGAAGACCATGTCAAATGAAGTAGGTAACTCATAACTTTATAATGCAGCTTATAAACAATTGGAGAACAACACAAAGCAATGTTGTGTGAAATTGCACCATCCCACCAAATCATAAATTCAGTTCTTCACATCCCTACTTTAAAGTTATTTCTATCTAAAACAATGACTCATTTCTTATTGCTCCTTTAATGTCATTTTTTTTTCTCAGATGGGTAGATTTAAACTAAAGATTTGCCAATTTAGATTGTTTATTTATGTATTTGGGTGGAATATTGCCACTAAGATGAATCTGTTAAGAAGTCTTTTTAAAGACCTTTATTATGGCTGTTGATGCTGTAAATGTGGAAGGTGTTGTGTTTGAATGGGAAGAGCTGTGAAAACAAAATGAGAATCACTTTTTGGGGGAATAAGGGCTAAATTGTAAGGAAATAAAGATGAACTTGTTAACAGATTATTGTCTCACTTGAGAGCCTCTGGCGGCAGCTTGGTTCCTGACACGTTGATGGAGCTGAGAGACGCGGGGCAGCTGAAGAAATGTTTAAACGATGGAGGCACATCTTTGCCTTTCCTGCACAGCCCACAGTGAAACACTAATGGGTAAATATAAGCAAAACTAAAATAAAATGTGTCGGTTTAACTCAATTCAAAGTGAAAACCGTTAAAGCATTTTTAGAATTTAAGAAAAGAGAGACGAAAAAAGTCAAAGTAAATACAAGTTTTTTTTCTTAATAAATTCTCTTATTAAATTTGTCATCCAGAGTTTTCAAATGATAAACAAACCTCTAGTATTTCTCACACATTACTCTGCTTAGGGCTTTTCTTTATCAAACCTTTAGTTGTGATCAAGTCTCTCTGAGTCATTTTAGGATTCAAACTATCACCAGAAAAAAACTAATTTTAGTCTACTGGCCTCATGTTTTATTTATTTAAGATTAGGAAGATACAGCCTCTTTTCAGCTTTAGATTATAAAATGTTGATATTCATTTACCTGTGAGGAAAGTTGCTTTTCGACACACTGAGAACAGAGAGGTGTTGAGCAGAGCCTCGCAGCAGAGCTGAGCAAACCTGGAACATAAAAAACAACCCACAAGTTACCAAACTTCTTTCTGTAACTTTGTTTTTGCACTTTGACTGTCGGCGAGTCCTAAAACGAGCAGTTTCTATGGAAACAGACGATTCTGCTGTGTAGAATCGAAAGCGTTCACACGTCCATCTGACTGTAAAAGGCTAATTATGATTCAGGGGTAAATCGATGAGGTTGACTGTCTGACAGCTGGCTACATCTCAAGCTAATCAATAATCCGTGGCTGGCTCTCAGACCCACGTCAATATACTGAATTACCAGCACGATTCAGAACCACTTCATCACCCAGTGACCTGCAACAGCAAATTGAATGGGTGTGCAGAATTAAATTAAACCTCCTACAACAACGTTATTCATGGCTCGCACTTCATTTTCTAGTTAGCTACAACTCATACAGTACGTAATGATTCACAGAGAGCACTACTATAAATCTTGGGCATATGTTCTGCTAATGCATTGAAACACTTACTCAAAAAATATGAATTTCATTAGATTCTTATGCAGCCGCCTCACCTGATCCAGGGAGCAAGTCTGTATTGGAGAGGTCGAGTGTTGCCAGGCTGTTAGGTTGACCCAGGAAGTTATAGAAATGCTGGAAAAAAGTAAAAAAAAAAAAAAAAAGAAAGAGAGAGAGCCCAAAAGATTTTAAATATCATGTCTGCTTGGAAAGAAAGCCATCCCCACCATTCAACTTAAAGGTATAGTGGAGGATGTTCTTTTTCTTGGTGCATCATCAAAACAATCGGTCCTCCTAATTGTCAATCATTCTGGGGATATGTTTATGTAATGCCGTCCTACGTGCTCATCACCATTTTTATCTACGTTAATCATCTCTTTTTTCCCCTTTCCTATTCTTTTAAACTATGGACAGACATAAAAAAATGGTTAAAATTGAAGAAGTTCATTGAGAACTCCTTGTTTAGTTTTTTTTCCAATTTAAACTGTATTACACCTCATTAAAAATTTTGAAGTCTGTTTCTGCAAAAAAAAAAACTGCCAGTATTTCTACTTTTCTTTTGTTTTAAATCTTGCTCTATTTTCATTCATTGGCCTTGCTGTTTAGCTATCTGTTCTTAGTTTTAGCCCCATGTTCTGTCTATTTTCTTTCTACCCAGGTTGTGATATTTTATTCATCAACAAGTCTTTTTATACTGTTTGTTTGTTATATGAATTCAAAAAAAAAGAAAGAAAAAAAGCAATGATATTAACCAATCACAGACGTATGAACTGCGAACCAACAACAGGAGGCAACAACATCATCAAACAACTGCAAGGTGTAGGCTAGTTTACTGCACATTAACTGGCAAGATCACAATGAATAAACACCACAAAGGCAGCTAGAGACATGCACATATATGCAACATCTACTTGGGCAATATAGACATATGCAATATCTACTTATGCAAAAAATACATTTGCAACTTATACATATCCTGTATGGGTGATGTTGTGGGGGAGCAGCTGGACACCCTGACCACCGTGGCAGAGAGGAGGATGCTGTCCAGGTTTCAGTCCATCTTAGATAATGACTCACATCCTCTCCACGACACACTGGTCCAGCAGACGAGCTCCTTCAGCAGAAGACTCCTCCTACCCAGATGCACCACTGAGCGCCATAGGAAATCATTCCTACCTGTGGTCATCAACCTATATAACGCCTCCCTCAAGTGATTCAGCCCCCCCCCCGTAATTGACATTTATGCACTATTTTTGCACGCCACGTATCACTTTACTTGGATTTATTCACTTTAATTGGACTTTTCACTCTATTTGGATTTAGGTTTTACATATACATAGATATACATATATATATATATATATATATATATATATATATATATATATATATATATATATATATATATATATATATATATATATATATATATATATATATATATATATATATATATATGAAGAAGAGCTATATGTGTATATATATTTTATCTCTTTTTATTCTTATTTTTTATCTTTATTATATTGTATAGTTGGATGTGTGTATATATCATGTAAAACTGTAACTAGAGCGTGTAACAAAAGTAATTTCCCTCTGTGATTATTAAAGTATTTCTGATTCTGACATTCAGACAACACATGCAACAACACGCATACATCTGCTTTTTTTTATACAAACAGAGCCCCATACATGAATGATGGTTTGTCTCTGTGTTGCCCTGTGATAGACTGGCCACCTCTACAGAGTGTACCCTGCCTCTCGCCAATTGACAGCTAGAGATAGGCACCAGAACCCCCCACGCAACCCCAGAAGGGATCAAACATGGTGGAAAATGGATGGATGGATAGATGGACTTATCTCAAACTTGAGAAAATGTTAGTCAAATGGAAGGATGATTTCATTTTGGTCTTCATCTCCTACTGGTGAAGATAATGCTATGGTATGAGGTAATTTGCCCAAAAATACCTAACCCAGTTCTCCCAGTGAGCTTTAACTATTTTATTTAGAGACAGTGACATCTAGAGGTTGATAGATGCAAATACACCCTGAGGGTCAGTTACAGCAAGTTAAATGGATAGGTCCGGTTTTTCAAAAGAGAGTTTTTCAGAAATAATTATAAAAAAAACCAACTTATTTTCGCTGACAGGTTTCATACTGTCTTAAGTTTATAGACGAGTATTGGCTCCCCCACAACCCTGTATCAGTGATGCAAATAGATTGTTAGACATTTCTTCAATACATAATTAATGCAATATGACGCACATTCAATGTTCTGTCTTTTTAAAGACACATAAGGCCTATGATATATTTATAATGTCACATGGGAAGTGCCTTGTGAAAGGAGATAATATTATTTTTGTTTCCTGGCCTTTTAAAAAATGGGCACAAAATTAAAAGAATTTTGAGATTTTTTTTAAGACTGTGTTTCTGTTAAGAGCAAATGAAATCAAGATGAAAAAATTATTTATAACTTCTTGTTTCTCGAGTTGTTTATCCTTCAAAATAATGGTATATGTTTAGTTTGTGATAGGGATATAAGTCAACAAAACATGTATTCTGAAGCTTTAAGGAGTGGTTTGCAATGTAGCTTTTCTCTAGAATTTCGAATGTCCTTATATTTTCTTGGAATGTAATTATTTTGGGGACCTTGCGAAAAGAAGCTTAAAAGGATATGGATGCAACAGTGATGATGGGTAATTTCTCTGTTATGGAAGTTCTGTGACTCCTAGCATCTCCATTCAACAATATCGTTATTTTAAAACGCAAAACCTTTTTCCACTTTTTAAAGACAACTGCTTAATCTTTCTGTCTGTAAAGTGTATAGACACACAAGATGTAAAACTGATGTAAAACTCGGGTTTTAGGTAGATTTTGCGACCTGTTTACATCCCAGTCGATATTAGTGATTGTTCCCTGAATAGTTCTATAGGGAGGGCATTTCGCGTTTCTGTCTAAGTTGCTTGTGGAGAAATGACCTGGGCCATAAGTAGCGAGGAAACAGGGAGCGATTCTTGTGGGATGGAAGAAGATTGGAAGGGCGTAGAGTCAAAAAAATGAGAAAAAGCGGAAAAAGCAGAGATCAATTGAGGGGGAGTCCGGTTCAGAACAGTGAAGTGATGAACAATCTATAAAAGGAAAATAAAATGAGTACAAAGTCATATTCAAACTAGTTAATCAGACAGACTCTTTTGCAGATTGGAATCTTAAAGATAGAAATTATGAGGGAAAATGTGATTAAGTATTATGTTGTGTTAAGTTAAACAGTTCGAAAAAATATTATTTATTATTATTATTATTTTTTCCTGGGGTGAATCGTTTCCTGTTTCCTTGCTTAACTCCTTATCAGTTAGTGGCGGTAATGCACTTTTAACCAGTTTGACAACCGCAATAAAACCTCACAAGAAGAAGAATATAAGTTATATAGCAACCCACTCCATTCCAGTAGATAGCGGTAATGAACATCAGTAAGTTGCTTGCCAACCACCATAAAAAAAGAAAGAAGAAGAGCAGGTCTCTAGCGAACAGTGACATCACTTCGCTCCACCCTTTCCGTTCCTTTCCATCCGCGTGCCCGTAGGTTAGCCTGTGTCCACGTCGAGGGTTTCCATCAGGGAAGAGAAATGCCATCAAAAATCAAGTTTGAAAGTTTGGAAGAAGCAACAGAGAAAGCAATGGACACTGTCGAGGAGGTTGAAACCTTCAAGGTGAGTCTAATGATCCATATCGAACTAGAAATCTATAAATTGACTACCAAGGCTCCTCCATGTTTAACAACATGTGGTTGTGCTTGCTAGCGGCTAACGTGACGTCAACCAGAGTTGGTATAACAAAGTCAGAGTCAAAATACAGGTGTTTTTATTAACAATTAAAAATATGAAAATCGTGTTCTGAAATATAGTCGGTGTGTACCTAGGTAGCCTGTTTCAGGGTGAATATACACCGATATGTGGTGTTCTGTTTCGGTGAGACACTAAAGCTCATCTGTCCCGTGGGCACAGATTCGTGTTTTTCAGATTAAATATTTTAACACAATGTACCAAAACTTTGATGTTTCATATACTTCATCTTGAACAACATGATCAGAGAAGTGGACATCTTGAAAAATCTACTTCACAAATTTGGAAGGTGCCATAACAACCACGTTTGTGGGGTTTAAACAACTGGAGGACATAGTCGTTCAGTTAGAGGTTTTGGAAAGATTGAAATGCAGGGAATTTAGTTTCTTTAACGTTTGTAGACATGAAGATGTCTTATTTAAGACATTTCTTATCTGTTGCCAGACCCCACTTTGTCCTGTATAGACTTGTTGTCACTTGCAGTCTGACATAAAAGAGCTTCAAGTACACTATTAGACATCCTGCTGAATTAACAGCCCTCCTGATGTCTTTGAGATTATAAAGATTTATTCAATCTTTTTAGCTTTATTATTTTGAGGACACCAATATACGATTTAAGGGGATGAGGAGTAGACATGAGTAGCTGTAAAACTCTGATGGTATGACAACATTCAGCAAAGATATCACAGTATTACGATTACAGCTATAAACTATCCATCTTAGGAAAAAAAATATATAGATGGTAAACCAGTCATTAAAACTCATGAAATTCTTCTTCTTTTTTTTTTTTAATAAAGCATTTAAAATGCTTTAATTAAAAAACAAACAAAAAACATTTATAAAAATTATGTCAGCTATGGACCCTTTTGTACCATCAACGATTATAGACCGTAAGAGTTCTAATAGAGACCAATCATCAGTGTTCATGACCTGCTAAGCTTTAGGCTGTTTTGTCACACAATTACAGTAGGTCAATGAATATATGGTGTAACTTGTTATTAAACAAGTCTCCCTCATTGTGTTGTTAAGGTTTTTATTGATGGTAAATCTAATGCAGGAAGTAGCTGCTTGCTAGCTTTACTTGTTGCTTTTTTAACTTTGCAGTAAACACTACTGCTGCTGTTTGTTTGGGTTCTAAATATTTGGTTCATGTAAATGCATTTTTTTCTCTTGAAGGTGGAAAATAAGACCAAGGAAGGTAAGAAACTGAAGAAGCAGAAGCAGCAGCAGTCAGAGGAACAGGAGGAGGATCCAGACTGTGATCCTCCTGCACCAAAGAAGAAGAAGAAGAAAAAGGAAAAGCTGGCAGCGGACCAAGTTAACGGCCACATCGATGAGGCTGCTGATGTAAACGGAAACAGTAATGACGTTGAGTCACCAAAACAGAAAACCAAAAAGAAAAAGGAATCATCAGAGGCAAGTGATTCTGTGTTTAGTGATTATATATCTACAATTCAAATATTCTTCGTTCTTGTTTGTACATTTTTCTGCAGACAGGATTATCATTATATGGCTTTGGGGCATTTTTAGACTCTGGAATAAAAGATAATGTATTAGTTCAGTGACTTTGCTCCTTGTGTAACACTTTTCTCCTGGATGTCCAGAAAAACAAGAAGCAAAAGAAAGCAATCACTGAGGCAGCAACCAATGGACATTCCACACCAAGCACACCAGCCCAGACCCCTACACAGACCCCATCTCAGTCAAGTGATGACTCAGCCAGTGACAGCGAAAATGTAAGATGTCTATATGCTGGTGAAGATTCTCAGTCATCCAGGTTATAGTCATTCCAACACAAAAAAAAAAACATCCACTGGACTTTGTTTTTCAAGTTTGAAGATGTTTCGCTTCCCATCCAGGAAGCTTTTCATTCAAAAGCAGACTACTTGTAAATCTTAGTCCAGTGGATTGTTTTTTTAAGTTTTTTTTTTAGAAATTAAGATATTTATGACAATGTTTAAAGGCAAGAAGTAAAAAATAAATAAAAAATGATAATTCCAGTCAAGTGATGACCTTGTGAAAATGTAAGATATGCTTGTGAAGATTCTCAGTCATCCAGGGCATAATCATTCCAAAAAAGTAGAAAACACAATCCACTGGATTTTGTTTTCTAAGTTTGAGGATGTTTCAAACATCTTCAAACTTGTATCATATTGCGTTTGCTCTTTCTGTTATTTTAAAGATGCCTGGAGTCACAAAAAAAATGTAACAATAATTTCTCTACACCTTTAGGAGCTGACACCAGAGCAGAGAGAAGGAGCTTTCTCTAATTTCAGAATATCTCAAGCCACCATAGATAAACTGAAAGGTAAGCGCATATTTCCAAATGGGTGTAAAACTTGCACATAATTATTGTGTGTGTGTGTGTGTGTGTGTGTATATATATATATATATATATATATATATATATATATATATATATATATACACACACACAAAGAATAAATGTCCAAATAAAATCTACATCCAATGTAAAATGTGATTTTTTTTTTTTTTGGAGCCTCTAAAAATAAAAAGAGAAACAACATAACAAACCCACCCTCTTCATTCTGACCTTTCAAAAGGTCAGAATTAAGGTAAAAGGACAAAAATATTGTAATAATTGAAACACAGTAAAGATCAATATTGCAGTTTAAGTCCAATTCCCATTTCGATTTATTTTTTTTTACTGATTTTCATAGGCTGGTAAATAGTCAAGACAATTTTGTAAACACATTAAATAAGTCCTTTTGTAGTGGTACGTTTGGGATCTAATAAACATGATTCAAACAGGGTTTCCTCTGGTTTATTAGGAAATGTCTCTAATTTTCAGCTCTTAATCTAGTGCTCGATCTGCAAATATTTTGAATTATTGTGCCTATGCATGTAATAGAATTCAGATAATTGACTGAAGCTGGCAAATACATTATTACTATAAAGAACGCCGACTGTTCTAATGCCTTTTCTGACCCAGGTTTGTAGTATACACACTACAAACCAGTTTATAGGTTGGGGAATGCTGGGGTTAGCTTCAAGTGCTGTGTTAATCAACAATGGTATGTTTAGGTTTAAAAGAGTGTGTAACTGAAGCCATGCATTGTTGGTAGCTAAGATTAAATGATTTGATTGTAGAGAGCTGGTTTTTTGAATTTAAGAAAGGGATTGTAGCAAGTGAACTGGATTTCTATTCTTGTTGTTCTATCGATAACCACCTAATATAATTTGCATTTGAATAAATCCACATCCATAGAGTACGAAACTGGGAAGTTAGGTAAAACATTCTGAAATTTGGAAGATTGAATCCACCTTTAGTATAGGGAGCCTGTAAAGGAAGAAGTTTAACTTTTGGGACCTTCTTTTGCCATAAAAATCGAGATATTGCTTGAATCCAAATCTCAAAAAAATGTCATTGAGACTTTTAAGGGGACGCAGTAAAATAAGTAAATAAATGTAGGTAATGTAGTCATTATGATTGAGGTAACTCTGCCAATTAAAGATAGTGGGAGATCTATCCGTCAATCCAGCTCTGCTTTGGTTTTATTGATAAACTGCACTTAATTTGATGTTTTTTTCTTTAAGATTTGTATAGAGAAAGTTGAATGCCTTTTTGAGAGTCAAAATGCATTTGGTCTGCATTTTATTTACAGCCTTAAAGGCTTCATTCAGCCTTTTGCAGTGTTAATATTTTTTCTCAAATGTCCGTTTTTTTTGCTATGCTTTTGAATATCCTTCTACTTCTGTCTTTTCAGCTCGGGGAGTCTCCTACTTGTTTGATATCCAGGTAAAGTCATTTAATCCTGTGTATGATGGAGAGGATGTTATTGCCCAAGCCCGGACAGGAACAGGAAAAACGTTCTCCTTTGCCATACCGCTGATAGAAAAGCTCCAGAATGGTGTACCAGAAAATACCAGAGGTCGCCCTCCTAAGGTATTTGCCAGTCACTGAAAATTTAGCGTTTTATTTTTTATTTTTTTCTTCTCTTTCCTCCATCTGTTTGTCAAAACTCAATAGTTGTATTTTTTTGTTGTTGTTGTTGTTAATAGGTTTTAGTCTTGACTCCTACCAGAGAGTTGGCCATCCAAGTCACCAGAGACTTCAAAGACATTTCCAAGAGACTGTCTATTACATGTTTCTATGGAGGAAGCCCATACAATCCACAGAGTATGTTTATGTCTTACTATTAACTGCTTATATCAATGCTGTTTTAAACTCTTGAGCAACAGCAGATCATTGAACACCCAGGTGGTGTTCAACATACCATTTTAAGTCTGGTTTTAGACTTAAGCGACTTTGATTCCTTAGAAGTCTCTCCTATGTGTCCAACCAACTCAAACAGCCAACTTTTCTATAGAGAGCTCTGTCCACGGGACAATATTATGGATGCTTTTATCTCAGTATTTTTAAAACCAATGTAATTTGCTCTTTGTTTCTGGATCCAAATGATTGGGTTTTTATGTTTAGTTTCAATTAATATTTACACCTCTCTTATTTTCCAGTTGATGCCATTCGTAATGGAATTGATATTTTGGTGGGAACGCCTGGTCGCATCAAAGATCACCTTCAGAACAACAAACTCAACCTCTCCAAACTGAAACATGTTGTTCTGGATGAAGTGGACCAAATGTTGGACATGGGGTTTGCAGAACAAGTTGAAGAGATATTGAGTTCATCGTATAAGAAAGGTAAATTAATGTCCAACATAAAAGCATATTTAAATAATGAAGCGGGTATATCCAGGCCGATGTAGTTTTTTTTAGTTCTAAGTTTCACATGCCAATTTATTCTTGGGACCAAAGTGCATAGAATTGGAAACAATATTTTTGTTAAAGGTTGTTTGAATCCAATGGAAATTGAGGTACATGTTGTTTATTGATCCTAAAGTCTAAAAACAGCGATATTGTATTTTTTTGTATGAAATGAATAGGGAAAGATAGATTATGTATATTAAAATGGTCATCTTCATACCAATCTAAAGGAAAAGTTACAGTTCTAATCTCTGACCAGTGGCATTATATTTAGATTTTTGGTGTTGGCCCATACTTTATATATAGGATCTTTTTTTTCAAGTAATAATGTGAGAGTGTATTTAGCAATTAACAAAGCTGACTTGTATTTCTGACCTTCAGACAGTGACACCAACCCACAGACCCTTCTGTTCTCTGCTACTTGCCCTCCATGGGTGTATGATGTGGCCAAGAAATACATGAGGCCAGGCTGCAAGCACATTGACTTGATTGGCAAGAAAACACAAAAGGCTGCAACAACTGTTGAGGTGAGTATAAATGTAGTGTTATAAGTGCTATTGAAAATAATCTAATACAGGCATCCCCAACCTCGCTCCTCAAGGCCCCCTGTCCTGCAGGTTTTAGAGGTTTCCTTGCTCCAGCACAACTGATTTTAATTGAAAGCTGATTAACAGGCTTTTGATCTACTGCGGTCATTATAATCTAAAACCTGCAGGACAGCGGGCCTCGAGGACCGAGATTGGGAATGCCTTCATGATCTTGTATTTGCCAACCTGTTTTAGAAAAATGGCCTATGACGTTTTCTTGACTTTCATACGGATCTTCCCTTTGCAGCATTTGGCCATAGCGTGTCACTGGAGTCAACGTGCTGCAGTGATTGGAGATGTTGTTCAGGTGTACAGTGGTAGCCATGGCAGAACAATCGTCTTCTGTGAGACCAAGAAGGAGGCTAATGAACTGGCCATGAATGCATCCATCAAACAGGTAGTGATGCACTCTTATCACTTTATGAATCTAGGTTTATTTACGTAAAGAGGTTCTTGAATCTCTACCACTGTCACATTTGCTGTCATTATAAGTTATTTATGACTTTTTTCCTCTCCTGATTAATACTTTCAGAGTTCCCAGTCCCTCCACGGTGATATTCCACAGAAACAAAGAGAGACGACTCTTAAGGGTTTCAGAAATGGTGCATTTGAGGTTCTCGTTGCCACAAACGTTGCAGCCCGTGGATTAGACATCCCAGAGGTCGACTTGGTGGTCCAGTGTTCTCCACCCAAGGTTTTTACACAACAAAAACATCCATTGATGTGAACCAAGCTGTAGTGTGATACTGTGGTAGCTGGATGTAAATGCTGCGACACATGGACCTTGTATTTAGCGACATTTGTTTTACAATGTACTTAAACTTCATGATAACCAAGGTGTCGAAACCCTGAAATGATTTAACTTCATATTTTTGCTTCAAGCACAGAGTAGAAAGTTGTCCATTAACATCTCAGAAGCTCTTTATCTTGACCAGGTGTCTCAAGCGACCTAAAGGTCCATTGACCAGCAACTTCTGAATCCATTCCTGCTCCAACACACCTGGATCAAACGGCTTAATTATTTCTTCATGAAAGTTTGGCAGATGCCTTCTAGACTGACTCAACCTTATTTATTCCTTGGGATTAATTCCATGTAAAGTCTGTTAGAAATTGGAGACTGAGACACAGCAGACTGCAAGGACCAAAGCTCCCTTTTAATTTAAACACATGCAAGGCGAGAGCCTCCCAGTTACACAGAATTTGTCAGTGAGCTCTAACCGGGGTGGCTTGTTCCCTCTACATATAGATCACTTTCGTGTGTAAAAGAGGTTACAAAACACATTAACAGAAACCCTAGTGCACGACACAATGGTTTCCACGGAACTGACCTCTTGAGGTTTTTCATAGTAACTGTTATACCACTAATTGCTCTTGCTTGCTACTGTTTAAAGAACACCTATTTCAAACTGACCATTCCTTGCTTCTGCACAGATGTTTATCTAGTTAAGAAACTAAGTTTTTGCAAGGTCATCTTACACCCTTGTGACCTTCAACAAATACACTGCTTACTTAAATAGAAAGATATAATTTGAACACAGAAATTTAACTTCACACTCCCTCAGGAAAATTCTGGTTCCAGTAGCTTATATAGAGTACTATGGGCAATGTTAAAGCAAGATTTGAATTGGGCTAGCAGTAAGGAAAGAGGTAAAACAAGGAAGTAGGATGCTTTTTATCCATAGATAAGTTAGTATAGGGACCTTCTGACGTTCTTATACTAATATATTTAGCTGTACGGATTCCCAGAAACCTTTGTGCTACAGGATGTGTAGTCACAGCCAGCCTCACAGTTTAACAAAATGCATTTGTTAAACTACTCTGTATGACTCATGCACATTCAAGGACCTTCATATGTCTAGGGTTTTATAATGGAGAGCTTCAGCTGTTCACCATGTTTGTGTAACTGTTGTTTCTAGTAGTCCCAAAGTGTTATCCGTGTGTTCTCATCATGTAACGATGTCCATAAAGCTTTCCGGTTTCAGTTCAGGAGACCATAGATCCTCTACTACCCTGTATAGTATTCTTACTGTTGACCCTGCAAAAATTAAAGGGATAGCAGCCAGGAAAAGAATAAAGGAGCTACAATTGATCCAATTTGGGAGAAGGACCCAACATTTCTGGATAATGGCTGGATACACATGTTCCTGTCAATGAGAATCTAATGTTAAATCCAAAGCTTTAAATCAGGGTATCAGGAAACTAATGACACCTCAAAATATAAAATATCATAATTTAGATTATGGCAGATTTTGAAGAGCTTAAAATACAAAAGTTTAATCATGTGCAAGTAATTCATTCACCATTGTCCCTAGTGATGAGCAGCTTATTCCTTATTTGGTGTATTGCCCCACCTTGTGGTTGCTGCAAAGCATTACACACAGTGTAAGAGAAAAATGTTCTGGCTGCTTGTTGGCAGAGATCAGGGATGGGCAACATTTAGTGTCCAAAGAACATTTAGTCTATCTGAATAAAACTACTTTAGAGTGATAAATAATATTAGCCTTTTATTTCTTTTAAAAACAACTTAGCTTTTGATACCTAACTGATATTTTTGGAAAAGGATTTAAAAGCAATCTATGTCCAACATAAATTAAAATACTTGATCATCTTCAGACCCCTGGTTTACATTGGAGTAGTTGCCATGTTCTGGTCATACAGGTACATTGTGTTCTTTTTATTGATCAATACAGGTGTATAGGAAAGGGTGTATCTCTGTATGTTGTTGCCTAAGAATCAACATAGACTGAAAAAAGTTTTTGTTCTTCTTTATGAAGTTGTCTACTGAGGAAAACAAATACAAAGTTTGAAATTATTTTTACAAATGGAAAAATAAAAATGCATTTCAAACCTCATTAGAATAAACTGAAAGAAGTCTATTTTTTTCTTTCTTTTTGGTCAGGATGTAGAATCGTACATCCATCGTTCAGGGCGAACGGGACGAGCAGGCAGGACTGGAGTCTGCATCTGCTTCTACCAGAGGAAGGAAGAGGACCAGCTGCGCTATGTAGAGAACAAAGCAGTGGGTGTCACTAACTTGTAAAGATTTAAACTGTCTAATTTGTTTTTTTATTATTAAGTTGGTACTAAATGCTTCTTGTTTGATGTTATTCCAGGGCATCACTTTCAGGCGAGTTGGTGTTCCGACTGCCAATGATATCATCAAATCATCGAGCAAAGATGCTGTCAGGTATGCAGTGTGGAACTGGCCAGACATACGATTTTGACCATAAATGTTACAATCTTAATCTTTGTACTCATTTTTTATTTTATTTTTGCAGGTTTCTGGATTCTGTTCCAGCAACTGCGATTGAATATTTTCGGGAATCAGCAGAGAAGCTCATAGAAGAGAAGGGAGCAGTAGATGCTCTAGCCGCTGCTCTGGCTCATATTTCTGGAGCCACAAGTCTAGAGCAGAGGTCTCTACTGAACTCTGATGCTGTAAGTTTCCTCTGTGATAATTGGATTTCCTCAATTGGAAACTTGTATTGTTTTTCAGATTAACTGAAGTGGCTAAAATTAACTCAGATTAGAGCAGAACTTCTCTTATTGAGATAAGAGATTACATATCACTTTGGCCATACCAGGAATGATTTCACTGGAAATGTGCTCCTTTTTGAAATGTGTGTTTATGTTGTGAGATTTTTTTTTTTTTTTTTTGCAGGGTTTCGCAACAATGCAGATGCTGTGTTCTCAGGAAATGCATAATCTCGGTTATGCCTGGAGAACCATTAAAGAACAGCTGGGAGAGGACTTTGAAAACCACATTTACAGAATGACCTTCCTCAAAGGCAAAATGGTAATCAGAACTCTTCTGGACTATGTCAATAGAACTTGTAAATCTTTGGTAAATCCTTGGTAAATCTGCTCACCATTTTTATCTCTTTGTAATAGGGAGTTTGCTTCGATGTCCCAGCTGATAAAGTCAAAGAAATTCAGGTAATAACACCAGCAAGCGTTCGTGTTCAAGAATAAAATGGCTTTTTGAACTGTTGCAGAAATAAAAGAATATATATTATGTAATACATATTATTAGTGTCCTGAATTGTTCTAAAATCCTAATTACTCCATTTTCTCCTTTGATTAGGATAATTGGACAGACGGTCGCCGCTGGCAGCTGACTATAGCCACAGAGCTCCCAGAGCTTGAGGAGAAGCAGTTCTCCAACCGCGGAGAAAGAAACTTTGGTGGTGGGAACAGAGGAGGGTTTAGAGGTGGGAGGGGGCGCGGCTTCGGTGGAAATGGTGGGCGTAACAACAGCTTTCGAAATGGTGCCGGCGGAGGAGGCTACAGCAACAGTAGAGGTGGACACAAACGGACCTTTAGTCAAGCATTTGAGTACTGATACGCCAAGCTATTGATGTTTGATGCCGATGGATTTTATTGACTATCATTAGAATCAACATGATTGGTGAAAATATTTCTGATATAAGATATCAGATCCACATACCATATAAGCAAAAACTGCATCCTTTTGCTACAAGTGGGAGAAATGCTGAGATTTTTTGTTTGCCATTTTAATACCATACCGTGATATTATATCACTGCTGTTTGTAATTTGGTTCATTATTTTATAATGTAAAAACATTTCTCAAAACCCATTAGCAAATAATTTGCTAGTTTTGTTTTTCAGTTAATAGACATAATAATATAATCCTTTCCAGTCCACTAAAGGTTTGATTGTGTCACCTTCTCTTATTGGCTGTTTTTCCTTTTTGTTCTGACTGTTTAGGGAACAGCATTTATTAAAACTTTTCCCCTTAACTATGTAAAGGCAACTTTACCAACCATCTATAACCAGGGTGCAGATCAGCTTGTAATTTGTAAGATCAAACATACCGTGCCGTATAGCATCCATGTCTGCCATGTGGGATCTGTATGGGTGGAGGACACCGAATTAAGCTGGTAGAAACTTTTACAGCATTTTCAGTCAGGTTTCTGCATTACCATCAGCTGAAACGTTTATCCTTACATGTTATGTGCAATGATTGCGTTGCAATTGCTTCTATTTAAGAACTGTACTGCTTCCATTCATTAGAATGAAACTTCTTATTAAAGGTCAAATTGTACTGTGTGTGTTCTTTTAAGGTTATGGAAAATTCAACCTGTTTGTTCTAACATGGTAAAACTGTGTGAAATGATCAATTGCATTATCATGTTAGTTTTATTATGTTAGGTAATATTTGCCATAGTGAAAGGAAAGGACTGCACAGATTAGTATTAAGATTTTTAATTCTAAAATCTTTTTTACTTTGCATATGTCAAAAACATGAAAACCGCACATGGACACTGTTATATATATATATTGGTATGCTGTGATTGCTGTAACCACAGTCAAATTCTGTAAATTTTATTACAGAAAAAGGTCACCTGGGCTCTCTAAAATCTACTGGTAAACAGGAAGAACTTTTAACAGCATTACACAACTTGACCTTTCTGTAATTAGCTTTGATTACCAAACTGTTCTCTGTACAACTGACTTCTCACAAGAAATGCTTGTTCTTGGTATGCATAGCATTGAATGTAGCCAACTCTCTATAAGGAGAAGGTGCTCTGATACCAAGGGCAAAATACTTTTTCGAATTTCTGCATTTATTTGGATCTATTTACTCTACAATCTATGTAACCTTGTGCAGTCATGGTGTAGTGACAAACCAGATTAATAATATGTAGCTTTTAGGTTTAGTTTTACACAAATAATTTGGGGATCCTCCATCAAATTTGTTTTGAAAAGTAGGTACTCAGTGGAACCTTTGATGCTCATTAGTCGAAGCTTCACCAATTGCCTCCTCAAGTTTGGTTTCAGCCAGTCACGGTAAAGAATGGAACAACTGCTGACGGGATGAACAACCACAACACCCTTTATTGCTCTTTCTGTTCCTTGTTTAAAGATAAAATAGTGGATTCTGAGTAATTTGATATGATGGCATTAGCTGAGCTTTCAGATCAATCCAGCACCATTTAAAGGAAGAGATGGCACATTCTATGAGCTAGCTGACACACAGGTACATGTTCATTGTAATCTCAATCGTTGCAAATATCACAGAGCTGGCAGTTTAGATGCCATTCTGGAAGAGCAGAACACCAAGACCAACTCACTTCATATTTCCTTTGTATTTTATGGTAGTTCTTGACATTTTATGTGCACTGATTCCTTCACTCTGTTATTTGGAATTGCAGACATTTATTGTTACACATTTGAGATGAAAACTACATTGCAAACACCGGAATTCATTCAGGCTGCAGCATCTTGTTTCTTTATTAAAATTGTTTATGCACAACACTGATTGATGCCAGCATGTCTGCAGTGGTTTAGTATGCTATACATGTAAAAAGCAAAAACAAATGGGTATAAATATTACCATTTTTAAAAACGGGTCTGAGGTTCCTTTAATATTAGCATATAAATGCTAGACTTTGTCCTCCTGTACACTTAAAGTCTGTAGTTCAGAGCTTGGTTTCATTTACCTGTAGATCTAAATCCTGCACCAAAGCCTTACTTGTTCCAGGATTTACCCCGATAGTCCCAGAGCAGCCAGTGTTTAGCAGGTGCTGAATGGCAGCACTGAGGTTTTTGCTGACTTGGAGGAAATTATGGAGGTGTTGTGTGATGATGCACAATATTTTTTTTTTCTCTTCTATTGTAGGTAATTATTTGTATTTTAAACAAGCTGTTGATGCATTTTGCCTGAACAGCTAAGCTTGATAATCTTATACCAATTTTTTTCTTTTTACCAATAGTAAAACTGTTTTGTTAGAAACCCCATTATAGAAAATATCAGTAAACAAGCTCAAAGCAAGAGGCAGTTTATAGGCCTATTAAATTATGGCACAAACAAACCCCCAAAAATCTCATGCTAAAATGATCTTCAGGTTTCCAAATCTAAACCTATTTACAAAGTTGACTGTTTCTGTCTGAGCAACAGCAGGAGACCCCATTAATACTGAGGGATCCCCTGCTTTTATGCAGTATATGGGGGTCCTCGTGAAAATAGAGCTGTTCTGATTCAGATACCAGTATTAGAAATATCTCTGATCATGCAGAAAATGCTGCCATCAGCAAGTACTGGATTCAAGGCACCGATTCGATACCATGTCATTTAATATAGGAATATAGGATTCTATTAACAGGTTAGTTCTGACACAGTTCTTCTTCACCACTCTTAAAACAATTGCCTGTTGCTGACACTTAGTGCCTGTTGTTTAAGACAGGAGCAGATCTTACACCTGTCGGAGATGGAGCTTGCTACTACTTTTACTGCTACTGTTTTTATATTGTTTTGTTTAAAAAAAATAAATGCCTTAAATTTGCTGTATTCATTCACGTTCCCATTCACAGGTTTAACCTCAGCCAGGCCTTACCATGTCACAGTCATATATATATATATATATATATATATATATATATATAGTTTTTGTAACATACTGGTATCAGTACTCAGTTTCGGCCACTATTTACATCACAAGCTTCAAAATCGTGTTGGGAGAGAAAAAAATGGTATCGGAACATCTCTACCTGAAAGTAAATATGTGGGTACAGAGCAGGGATTCAGGTTTATGATTTTTATCAATGTTTTTTTTTTTTAATTAGCTGTGCAGGCCACCCATGTAGAGTATAGGAGACTGCATCATATAAAAGATAAAACGAGCTTTAATAAAGATGAACTTTAACCAGCATTCAGTTATCACATCTGCAACTATAAACTGTATCAGATAAAATCTGCACAATGTGCTAAAGTCCTATGAGGGTTATTTCTTGGCTGTAGCTCCCTCTGATATTGACATACTAGTCTGCTGACCTTCCTAACAATATGGTGAGACTTCGAACACCTGAGAATCGGTGTCAGAGCTACCGTGTCAAACCGGGAAAAACAAGAATGTGATTCTTTGAAAGAAATAATTGAAACTAATTTGAAAATACTAAAATACCAAGAAGAGTACACTGTAAAATATATGTTCATAGTAGTGTATTTTTGGTTTTGTAAAAAAAAAAAAAAATATATATATATATTAATGGAGTGGCGGCCAAGTGGTTCGGGCATAGAGCTCGGAACCCAAAGTTCCAGGTCCGAGCCCCACTCCCACAGACTGCCACTCTGGGTCCTTGAGCAAAGACCTTTAACCCTTAACTTTTCAAAATCATGTTATCCTTTAAAATTCTTCAGTATCAAGGGAATTCGAAACTATCCTGGCAGAAAAATCTGCACCATAAAGATAGTTTATAGTTTGATTAAAAACTATGAAAAATAACTAAAACCTTAACATTATTTATTTGCTTACAATTCTAAACAGATAAATAATGACCACAAACAAGTCACCCATCCTGCAAACAGGAAGCCTGGGTTTACTTCCTAACCTGGGGGAATGAGCTGCCGGCGTTGGTATTTAGGCAAGACCCTTCATGCTAATGCCTTTCACCCGTTATCTTAGGATTTAAGGTTCAATTTTTAATATTTATTTTCAAAGATCCACTTTATTACTCTCAAGAAATTTTTCCATTGAGGGAAATGGAGTGAAAAAAACCCTTTTAGAGGTTTTTAGGCTAATCCAAGTGTCATTGCTGGATGATTTGGTCACAGTCTGAACCGGCAGGGTTTGATTTTGTCCTGAAAAGACCTCGGCATGAGTTGTAACTCATCTAAAATGTTAATTCAGTTCAGCTTACTGTTGAGTATCCTCAGGTTATAGTTGATTTTATAGCACAAGACAACTCGGTGCTTAAAGGAGACTTTAATCTGTAGCAGAAACATTATTTTTTCAGAGGACTGTAAGCACTTTCTCAATCTGACACCAAAATGCACAATTTTTTCTGGAAATTAATTTTACAGTGTATAAATATATTGATAAGCAATATAAATTTTGAACCTAAAGAGCCGAGATGAGCAAGATTGGATTTGGACTTTAGTGACTGAACCACAGTTTCACTTTCCTCTCCTTTGAGTATTAAAAGTGTATTTTAAAGGGAATTAGTTTGTCAATTCTATAAATTTATTAGCTGATGTTTACTGATTCATGTTGTTTATTGTCACTCTTTGGGCCGGATTTATCAAAGGTTTGCGTGTATTAAAACGTGAGCTATTTCACTGCGCACGCTAAAAAATGTACAAACTAATCTATCAACAGCGTGCTAAAAGGATTTGGTCTTTAAAACGTGCTAAATAGCGCCTCTTATCCATTTAGTACTTTTTCTGCAATGAATATGCAATATGGGGCGTTTACACGCAAAAGTGCGTCTTGTGGGAGGAGAACATGTAAATATATTAATTTAGCACTCGCAAAGTGATTTATCAAACCTGAAAGCAATTTTGCTAACGGTATCTGACTCTATATTTAACACGTTTCAAAAGAAGGTGCAAATGGTCTGTATGCGTAATTGCGCACACATGGCAGCGGTTATTGTCGCAAGAAGGAGACATGGAAATGAAGCAAGGAGACGCAGAGAACGCATTTTTTCACTCCGTGTGAATATTTTTGGAATGAACGAGGAAACGATCATCAAAACATATCGTTTATCCAGCATTGCCATTTTGGAGCTGTTGGGGGAACTCCGAATGGATTTGGAGCCAGCCACAAGGAGGACCCACGCAATACCAGATATCACAAAACTCCTTGCAACATTGCACTTTTTTGCATCTGGGTCATTCCAGCGTACGGTTGCAGCGAGAGCTGGGATCTCCCAATCTCGTTTTTTCAGAAGTGCTGTCCGAAGTGCTGTCCGACGTGGTCGAGGTTCTCCCCCTGCGCCTGTGGAGCAACGTGCCAAATGCTGCGGGTATGCGTACGCGCTAGAGGTGGGCGGATCGATCCCAGGATCGATACTATCGATACCAACGCTGGTATTTATATTGAACAATATTCGTTTAACAAGATCGATACTTTTTATCCTCTCTCGCGCGCGCTGACGGAGTCACCAGTTTCCCCATATGTGTAACAGCACTTTGCTCCCCCTCCCCTCTCCTACAGTCACATGGCTCAGCGGCGCCAGCCAATCAGCGCGCAGGCTTAGCTTGGCCTGCCCACTCAGCACTATGTCACACAGACAACCGCGCTGCCGGTTGCTGGGTGAGTGCTCACTCAGACTTGGATGGAGAGAGAGACCAAAGACCCGCCTCCAGCCTCAGACAGACATCTTTGACCCAAGCGTTTCAGTCCTCCAGAGAATATCCAGGTAGATAACAGTGGTCATCGTCTGCAGCACTTCATTATACATCATATATTACTCAGAAAGTGTAGTTAAGACCTTGAAAAAACCCAGTACATTTATCCCATTAAAAATTGTTAGCTAAAATAAGCTAACATTAGATAATCTCTTATTTATTCCACGATTGAGAACTTTATAGAAAAAAAGCAACAGGCAAGTGCAGCTTAAATGTAAAAAGTATCGGTATCGGTATCGATATCGGCGATACTGACCCAGTATTTACTTGGTATCGGATCGATTAAAAAATCCCGGTATCGCCCACCTCTAGTACGCGCAGCACACATATTCAGCCACATACCATAGGGAATAAAGGTTGCCATATATATATATATATATATATATATATATATATATATATATATATATATATATATATATATATATATATATATATATATTATTATTATTATTATTATTATTTTTTTGTTTTTTTTTGTTGTTGTTGTTGGGGGTCACTGTAAGATTTAAATTTCTTAATGCACTAGTTTGCACAAACTACAAACTACTTTGCCGCAAACCACAAAACGCGCAAAACCATCATTTAAATAGGGCGTCTCCAACAGTTTTGCACCTGCCACCAGTTACGCAATCGCTCTTGTTAAATCACCCGCAAACCATGGCTCAGCCCCTCGCGCAAAATTCCAGTTTGCGAGCGCAAATTACTGCACGCAAAATTGGATCTTGATAAATCCGGCCCTTTGTCTTTTTTTATTATGGAATTAAGGCTTTAACAAAATAAAGTAATAGTGTGCCACATATCACAGCAAAAAAAACTTTTCTTTTTGAAGAAACAAAAATGATGTCTGTGGAAGTTTTTTTTCTTGTGTGACACAAAAATGACTACTAATATTTTATGCAGAAACAGAATTTATTTTACAGCTTACATTTCATTTTACAAATACATTTTGCTTGTTCATGTTGTATTTATGATTTTTAGAAAAGTCCTCTTGTTTCCAAAGTGCGTTGTGATGATTAATACATAATTACAGTGTTTTATAAAGTGCAGGCAATGCAACACTGTCCAAATTACACTTGTTGGTATTCAATTGTTCAGTATTTCTAGCTAACACGTGTTAAATGTTAAGTGATTCCTGGAAAAACAAATCTTTGTTTTTGCTTTAGAATTTGTTCACGGTTCACGGTCATATTTTTGATGTACGAGAAAAAATGTACTGCAGTGTGATTTTCATTATACAATCCTCACATCTGTCAATTATTCAACAGAAAGACGCTTAAAATGTCAGACAATAACTACGACAAAACAGCAGAGCATTTCTGTAGACCTTGTCTGTGTATCTTTGTTTTCAATTCCTCTAAATGATTTCAGAGTGACATGCTCACACTTATGGCAGCCTCTACAATTAGACCCTAAAGGATGCTTTTATCCATACAAACAAAATAAATACAAACCTTAAAAGCAAATACATTTAGCTAAAACAGTTATTAAAACCACTCTCTCCAGTGATTTGGCTAAGATATGCTCTCATTCCCCTTTTGCATTGCCAAACAAAACTTATTGAATTTGTAAAAGCTGATTTCCCCTGTGCCATTTGTTCCTCCCCACATTGATTACAAGCAGTTCTGTTGGAGGGGAAACAGCTGCAGAGCAAACGTAAAGTTTATTATTTCTTGTGAGGACAAATTTAGGTTATAGCTTTTTTTTTTTTTAACAAAAATAAACAAAAACCAGAAATTCTAACCTCGCTGTATGAAAAAAATATATAGTTTTAATGAGTTGTGAACAATATAAGATATGAAACAGCCGTGGAAGGAATGGGCGATGAGAAGGATTCAGTTCCTATGCTACAGCTGGAAGTCCTCGCTGTAAAGAGAATTTGCGTATTGGTTCTCAATAGTGGCGTCCTCCTCTTCCTCTTCCTCCTGTGTTACAAAAGAAAAATGTTTTTACAAGGAAAAGAGAAATATTTTTTTTTTACACTGCCACTTATACAAGATTAAGCATTGTTTTAGATTAATCCTCTTGGTTTCATTTTAGCTCAAATAGAAAAAAAAAATCCAGTTTAATTACAGAAAATTATTAAATACCTTGTGACAAAATGTATTGTTCTTTGGAAATGCTCTTTTTTTTAAAAGCAAAACCGTGTAAGGTTTTGAGTCTGATAGTGCCCATATTTTAAACTCACTGCAACATTTTAATATATTCTGTTAACTATATATGATTGGTGTGTCTGATTTATTTGATGTTTTTTCATTAATGAATATGTTGGGTAGTGATTTCTTTTAACCCAATAGTCCATAATATTCACACTTTACAAATCTTTGAATTTTACCTTTTTACTATTTATTAAATATTTATTTTATTGTCGATAAGGGTGCTAAGAAGAGTTTAAAACAGATAATCTACATGCACTCATCTCTTCGAATTTGAGCCTGTGTGCCTCAACAAGCCTCTATTTCTTTTGAATATATATATTTTAATAATCTCAAATATGGCATTAGATAAAAATCTTTAATTTCTTCGGAAATTCCTTAACAGCAAACATAAGAAGCAAAAGAAAAGCTCCTTTTAAAGATGAAAGCAAATTTGTGATTTCTTGCAAATTCACTTGTTCTAAACCTCTGAAACAAATAACATAACCATAATGATTGAAAAAAGGGAAAATTGAAGGCCATTTCTGAAACAATCTTGGCTTTCTTAATATTAAAGCAGAAACACATGGCAATCGATATGTGAAAATGTATTAATGCAATGGTGAATGGAGTCCCAACCAAGTAATAGGCACAAATACTGTAAAGTAAACTGGCATAGGGTGACATTTCAGCATCGAATATCCTGTTTTTAAATTGGTTTTATATAATCTTCTAAATTGAAATAAATACAGGAATGGTTTTCATTAACTTTAAGCCACAACCAGAGATTGACACTTAAAAATATATAAATCCAAATCTTTATTTAATTCATACAGCTTTCCACATGAAGAGAAAAGGATTTAATTTACAAGTGTAACATATTCTAAATTGGAAAAATATTTCTGTATGTATTTGGATATTATTAATTAACTTATAGAATAAAGTTTTTGATAACATTCCAATTTATATTTATGCATTTGCATGTGTGTCTGGACCTACCTCGTCTTTCTTTTTGTAGTCTTTCTCTGTGCCACGGTAGGATACTACATGGATCAGAGTGTACACCCTGCGTACAAAGAGTCATAAAGATAAAATAACATTGGCATCTATGGTGAATAACAATACAGTACAGTCTTAAGGGAATGGCTGATGTAAATCTAGATTTCATGACTCTCTACATGATGGCATTCATCAAATATCAATTAAGTTAAAGAAATAAAGTAATAAGTACTAGTTGAAGAAGCAACATTCTTTAATCCATCTATAAACCATGTAAACAAAAGGGTTTGTGTACCTGTGATACAACATGGCCACAAACTGGACAAGAAGAAGAATGGCAAAGGAAAACAGGAACATTAAACTGAGAGGCTCCACCTGTCAAAGTAAAATGAAAGCATTGTTTGTTCAGTTAGTTTAGCACTGCATAGATTTGTGTAGAGCTCTTTTTTTTCACATGTTCCTACCTTCAGGTATTCTGTAGTATTTTGACCCGGGATATGTTTAGGAATCTTGATGCTGATGATGTCGTTTCCAATCAGCTGCAGGAAGAAAGTTGCTACCACCCAAAGCACATTAATGATGAAGTACAGGAAGACAGCCTGTGGAAATGATGACAGGTTTCAGAGCTTTAGTTGTGTCTTAACAACAGAAAAAAAACCCTCCTTTCTACTCTAAACAAACTGGGCGACCGCATTTTCAATTAAATCTAAACTATAATATTTAGAGACTAAGTCGCCAACATCAGTGTAAAATAGATTTAACAAGGAGCAGAATCTCAAGGATTTAATTTGTTAAAGATTTTAGACCTTTAAAAAACTGCCATGACAAATCTATGCTTGAAGGCAGGTTCTTGTTCCTCCAGTGAAAAAAAAAAAAACATTTAGGAAACATAGGAAACAATTTACGTACCTTGTTTCGCAGTGACTTCAGTTCTTTGCTGACTCTTGCCTTGTGCTCCGGTGTATCATTGATAGGTGTCAAATATCGTTCGATCAGCTTATCCCAGAAGTCCTTCTCACCCTAAACACATAGATATATGTATATATAGATATATTTATGCAAGCATTTTATTTAAGATTAGATTAGCATTAAAAAAGGTAATTTAATTGTGTTCTTTGCAAGTTAAAAAGTTTTTATTTTGGCTGAAGTGTATCCATTCCATCCATCCATACAGGTGGTGACATAAGAAGCACCAGATCAACCACACTCTCACTACATTGCATGGATGCATCTCAGTGCCTTGATGCATCTAGAAGTCATGAGAAGAATTTACTTATGGTTAAAATGAGCAATGTAGAAGAACATCATTAATGGGCTTTGATGGCATTGTGGTTGTTGGTGCTAGAAAAGCTGATTTGACATTTTCAGAATCTGCTGATAAAATTAGTTTTTCCTCACACAACCATTTCTAAGTTTTACTAAAAATGGTCTGAAAGGAAAACAATCCAATGAGTGGATGGAATCTCTTAAAACACCACATGATGAAACATGTAGTAGTAAAAGACCACACTGGATACAATACTGTCACAATAGGAAAATAAAGCTATTATCTCTACTGGCTTGGATGAGGAAAAATTACCTGCTTTACTTTTGACTTAAGATGAGACATTTAAATGTCAGGGACAAACAACATGCAGCATGGATTAACACCACCTTGTATTATTGGCTCAGATTGCTAGTGTTGGTGCAGTGGTGTGAGATGTTTTTAGGACATAATGTATAAATATGAGTACAAATATTGTTTAATCCCTAAATGTTCCATCTGTATTTTTGTTCACTCTCTTAACAACCACCTTGTACCGTCTTTTTTTAATGGCTCTTTCTAGTAGGTTAATGCACCAAGTCACAAATCTTCGATGATATCGAACTTGTTAAACGGACATGATAGCAGGTTCCTTTTATCCCTCTGGTTGGCAGTCACCATATTACCACCTATTAGTTACAGCTAAAAAATCTGCAGTATATGTGACGTTATAATGTCAACATGGACCCACATCTCTGGACAATAATTCTGACACCATGTATAAAATATGCTGCAAATAACTAAGAGTTCTGCAGAAGAGAAAAGGCTCAATCAGGTCTTAGAAATGATTAACCAGAAAAGCAGCTGGTGAATGTACGCTTGTAGTGTTATTGTATGTAGCTATATTGGACTGTGAGCTGTTTGGGCGACTCACCTCATCCAGCCTTTGCACCTGGGGGGCACTGAGGGTTTTCTCTATAGCTCTTTTCACTCTCTTTTCTAATTTAGTCATTCTATCATTTTTCAAGATGCGTCGAGCCTGGGGAATAAACAAAGTAAATTACTGGGTGATTTCACACTATCCTTGAAGACCTTATTCAAAGAGAATGAGTAATTTTAATTAACCAAAACCAAACTGTTATTCCTAGAGCTACTGTTCCAGAAACAACTGAACACATTTTTTAATGTTTAAAAAAAAAAAAAAAAAAACCCAAAACAAAACAATCTAAAAACAAAACACAAAACCTGATTAGTGAGTTCATGCTGTAAGTCATCAAGCTCAGCTTGATCCAAAATATCTTCCGGTCCTGCTTTGCTTAGCTTTATATTGATCGTGTCTGTTAACATTAGGACCAGTTCTTCACATAAATCCTCATGACTTTTGTTGTTGAGTGTGCATCTAGGAGAAAGAAGAAATAAATATCAGTAGGCATTGCTGCTCAATGATTAAAGCCACCTGAAACATTTGCACCTAAGACATAAATTAACAAACAAACCAACACAGAAATGTTGGGAAACAAATCATAGGCAATAGTTGTATACCTCTGATTTTAAAACTCATAAAAATTGATTACCTCTACATAGGGTAATATTTAAAACTCTTTATTGCCAGTTTGGATTTGTCAAAACGTCCAAGTTTAGGATGTTTCTTTACTGACACTACCTAATGCAATTAGAAGTTACAAAAACCTCACAAAAAGACTAACAAAACAACAAAAAACATCACAATTTACCGTAGTTGTGCTTCAAGATTTCTCTTCATGTTGAAATAAGTTAACTTCTTCATAAACTCTTCTTTTACAGGCTCCACCCAGTCTGCATAAAAAACACACTCATATGGCTCAGTGTCAAGAAGCAAGTTTACTGAACATTCTCAAGTTTTCTAAACTTAGGGTACGTTTCACGAAGCACGTTTACTAATAACTCTTAAGTTTTCTAAACCTGAAATATGGGAAACTCTGAGTTTTCCGTTTCACGAAGAGAGTTTAATCAACCTCTGTTTCAGTCATTCGTAGTAACATTTTCCCCAGAGCAAACCTGATCGGGAGCAGGTTTTTAAACTTGGAGTGTCCTAGAGCTCTGCTCTCCTTAGAGTTGTTTCATTTTCTGATTTTGAGTTTTGCGCACACAATAAAAAATAAAATAATTCAGACACAATTAGACACATTAGGTGTTCAGTGGGATTGGTGGGGGATGTGGTGGTGGGGGTTATCTTCTGGTTAAGATTAGGATTCACTAAATGATAACGCCCTACTGAGCCTACTGGACAATCTGAGGCAGCCACTTATTATTTACTGTGTAATGGAAGACAGAATCAAACTGAGGAAGAACCCCATCAGATAATGTACAAGTCCTACCTGTTAGAACATTTTTAGACTTCATCTTCACCTGCTGTTAGATGATTTTCCCTAGACAGAATACGATGATCCACTACCATTCAAGAAATAAACCCATAATGTTTTTGTGGTTACAACAGGCTATGGCAAGCCGATTTGAAATGTTTTAGATTCAGTAAATATGTTTTTCTGATGTCTGAAAAATCGATTCCTTGTCAAAATGACCATTTCAAACAGAATAACATTCTTCACATCTAGAATAATCATTCTGGATACCTAGAAAATAATTTAAGATCTCCATTACTACGAGTCAGCATTTGTATTATTTTGACCAGGAAGAGATGTATTTCAGATATCATAAATATATATTCAGTCAAGCTGATTAAAGTCAAAATTGGCCAGTAAAAATGTGTACAATTGTAGGTATATAAACGTAATTCTTCTGAAATTCACTTTCTGCCGTCAAAGCTGTAATTTAGAAAATCTATTATTACAGTTCCAATTAGGAAGGGTATTTTGATCAGGAAGAATCCTTTTTTTATTGATCTACAAATGGAACAACACAGAGGAGAGCGGCTTTAATAAATGTAAAAATTGCCACTTCATATAATCCTACGCATTAACTCCAGCAGCAATCTTCTCCTTCGCCATCTTCCTGTCTTTTGCAGCTGTTTCTTTGTTTTGTCCACTGGTGTGAAATAGGCACTTCCTGTTGCCTGTTGTCATTTTAACACATCGAATCGGGGCTCCACTGATAACGGCTTTTTAAAGTTGGAACGAACGTGTTCAACTCTGAGAGGATCTACTTAGAGTTGATTAAACTAATTCATAGCAGCGGTTGAAACAGAAAACTCAGAGTTGAGGATTTTAATCTGAGTTTTTTTAAATCTAATTCTTGAAACGGACCCTTTTCTCTTGTTTATTTCACATTATGAGTCACACATTGCATATAAAAAAACAACAATTTTATCGCTTCTTACCGCGGACAGGAATGTCTTCCATTTCTTCTAAATCACCATCGACTTCATCAGATGAGTGAGATGAATTAGATGAATCAGACGAATACGATTTTTGGCTAAGGTTATCATCATCATCATCATCATCATCATCACTGTTTACAAACACAACAACATTTTTTTTAAGGTTTATCCTTCAAAACACATTGTGATAACGCAAAGCAAAGCAATAACAGTAATAATTAGCAGAAGAATACCGGTGAGAGGTTAAAAGATCCTTGTTTTTGATCGACGCCTTTCTGTTTTTGTCAGTGTGAGGATTTATAACATCTCCATCTTTTTCTGTGATGTTATCAGGTTTAGTTTGAGACTGGAGGTTTGAGGGGGCCTGCGGTTGTGTTTCATTGTTGGTAATTTGAAGAAGAGGCGCTTTCTGTCCGGTAAAACCTGCGATCTGTTGAAGCATTACATTTTCTGCGTCTTGGGTTACCTGTAAAACAGAAGAAGTCTTTACCTCTCTATATTCACTTGCTTAAATGTTTATTTATGGTTTTCTCTAACACTACCTGAATCTTCCAGTCCCAGCAGCACAGTCTACAGTCTTTGTTGCACACAACGCTGTGATGTTTCTTTTCTTCTCCTTCTTCCCTATTTAAAAAGGAAAATCAAAAAGATTTAAATATACATGGCCAAGTAATATTAACAGTACAGATATAATTGAGATAAGTGGGCTTTTGCAAGTTATTAAATTAAATTATTTAAGTTGTTATCACTAATTTACTGTATTTTGCAGTTTATGCCTTTTGAAATATGTTTTAAAAAACAGAAAATACCACACATTTGCAGGTATGGAAGTAAAAAAGAAAGAAAAAAAAAACTAAAGAAAAAACTTTTTAGATAAAAAATAAAATAGAAATTTGCAATTAACATGAGATTATTCCATTTCTGATTGCAAAGTATAGATTTAAAAAAGTTAAAAGGCACCATATTGTATAATAGATCTAATTATTGCATTACTTGGATTCTCTTGTGCCCCATGACACATTGTTCATGTTAACCAGTCCATAGATGGTCAGCAGGAGGTATCCACTGGGAATGCAGATGAAATACATCAACCCATAGATAATCAACCCTAAAGGAAAGCAACAAAACATATCACCATACAATTAGCCAACACAAATTCAGCAAAGCTTAACATGATCTATTTTTTGGTAAAGGAATAATTGAACTGATACAAGAACACATTTTAAATGCACATTTTATTTATTAAGAAAAATCACTTAACACCAGCATAAACTGGATCTTTAAAAAAGTATAATGTATTTACTTAGGTTCTCTTTGTACAATTTAAAAAATATGTTTGATCATCTCAAGTATTTCAGTCTAAGCAAAAAAATTCTGTGAGAGAGCAAAACGGTTTTACCTGCTACTGCCTCTTAGTACAGGATAATACAGCTAATGGTAGATTAACTGCACTTAAAATACTCTTTATCAAGTTTGCAGACCCCAAAGCCCTTTACACTACATTCAGTCATTTACACAGCGACAGTGGCAAGCTATATTGCAGCCTATACCATCATGACATAGAATAACACAACATAGGCTAACATATAACTATATAAGCAAACTTTTATGTGGATTGTTTATGGTGGTATATTATGCATTGGCCGAGTATTTAGATGCCCCAAAACAAAATGATCTATTTCGATTTTTTTTTTGTCTAGTAAAATGATATTATGTTAAGGTTACTTGAATTAAAAACCTATGAAACAAAATTTATTGGGAAAGTTTGTATTTGAATAAGCACAAGGAATATTTTAACTATTTTTTATCTTTCTTTACAGCTCAATAAACAGTATGTAGAAGCAATCAAAGAAAGAGATTTTGGCAAAAATTGAATCTTGAAAAAAACACAGCAGATAATTCAATACCGACTGACAGGTAGTAAGGGTAGAGTTTTTATACTCATATTGTTTAAAATATACATTTTCAGGTAATTTTGAATTTGAATAATGCTTATGCTTATGATAAAACCTTACCAAACTCTTCTGGATGAAGTATGGCTGTGATCAGATACATAATAGTCATTGAGATCAAAAACACACCGGTGGGGGTCAAGAATGTCTTCTGCACCACCATATCACCTAAAAGAAGAATCTTGTGTTTGAACATATTCAGAAACAATTATGTTAAAAACAAATCTAGTTAATAAGATTTTACTTACCAATGATGGAGAAGAGGGATGCAGTCATAAGGAATGCATACAGAACGCTCATGAGTGCAGCTATTGTTATTTGAGTATTTGCTTTAGTTGTAAAGCAGATGATGATATATAAGGTAGGGGGAATGCATGAGATGATGATGGAAATGGCGCCGTCAATCTTGAAGATGAACTGAAAAGCTCCTGCAAGAAATAATTATTGAGAATGAGGAACAATTGAGTCAACATTGAATGTATCCAACAATAATGACCCTTTAAACATGTCTGTTGGGCTAAACTATTTTCATAAATAAGTGCAAATCTAAAGTCTTGTAATTTATGTAGATAAAGTATCTGTAGCCTGTTTTAATTTATTAAAGGTTTTTAGATCAGAGTTTCTTTTCAGCTTTTGACCCATAAAATGGTACCAGAGTATACAAGATCAATTATCCATGGGTGTAATAATAATAATACAAACAGCATAAACAGTTTCTCTCCATTGAATGTGACAGCCCAGCTCTGCTCACCTGCTACCATCAGTGTCACAGAGGCGGGTCCCAGGATTGAGGACCCAACTGTAAACATCTGATAGAAGATATAAAGCCTCGAGATGGACTGATTTTTCTTCACCGTCTCACTTCCACTGTTTTTAAATAATGAAAACACAATAATTAGTATATGAATATTTGAAGTTGTGGCATTTTCATAAGCATGTCATAAATTAATTAAATGCAGAATTGAAAAAAAATTGTCTCACAAGATATCAAATCTTAATAAATACCATGCCACATTGTGTACTTATAGTAGATTGGATAGGTATTTATACCACTTGCACTTATTTTGTTTGTCACATTACAACTGTATATTATAGTGTATTTTATTAATATTTGATATTGTAGATGATCTAGAAAAAGTTAAGTATAATTGAGAAGTGAAACAGAAATAAAGCTTTTCTTTTTGCTTAAAATGCCTTTGGTATATTGAAATTTGTGGTTAGAATATCTATAATTTGTATTTCTATGTACGTATATGAAGCTGAAAGTGTGAGTCTTGTTAAACTGCATTTCTTATTACTATGATTATACACCTGTGCAAAAGGTCAAGGGTGTTAGCCAGTGTAGAAGGTCCCCATCGTCTCCTTTGGTTGTAAAACTCTTTGAATTCCTGTGGTGAGTTAGTGTATGCATCCGATGCAGCGTTATATTCCACCCGCCATCCTTGTTGCAACAGCAAGGTACACAACCAACGATCCTCCCCTAGAAATGCACACAGTGAGCTCTAATATGAGGCAGTCAAATCACAGCTTGTTATGTGACTGAATCAGATGAGAATCTACCTTGGTCATACTGCACATATTCTGCTCCTCTTGTTGAAGTTGTTGTGTACTTCTTTAGGATGTGGTCATCCATCAGTGCAGAACCTCTAAACAGACTGAAACATCCGGGACTGCACAACACAGAGCCGAACACATGCTCTGCAGTCTTCTGTAGCCAATGGCCCACTGCATATTCAAACTTCTGGTACCAAACCATGGGACCTATGGTGTGCAAGATAAATAAGGAATATAATGAAAAAAAAAAACGGTCAAACTTTAATCAGGTATAGCAACTAAAGGGCCAGTTCTGGGCCTTTTGTCAGAAGATCATGCAGGAGCATGCTGAAGATCCTTTTCTTTAGATCAGGTGTTTTCAAAAGGTAAAGCGTCTAAACCAGGGGTCTTCAAAGTTTTCCAGTCCAAGGACCCCCGAACTGATGGCGAGATGGAGCGGGGACCCCCTAACTATATTTATTGTATAAAATTGTGTTATATCAAACTGATCCTATGGTCACTCTATTACATATGGAGTAATGTAACAAAAGTATTTGGCCCTGGGATTAGTATTTCTGATTCTGATTCCTGGTTGATGGGACAGGTGTTGTAAATGAAATGGTTCCCAGCTTGAAAGAGCTCCTGTGAGTCACTGAATGTGTGCATTGATGTTAAAATACATCTTTTGCCTCCATTTATCTGTTTACTACAGTGTGTTGAATTCATGTTAATGTGAATTTAAAGACATTTCAATAAGTGGAACGAATTGCAGTGGGTATATAAAAGGAAAGTCTAATCAACCAAAACATTCGCGACCCCCATGCAGTACCTCTGTGGACCCCCTAGGGGTCGCAGACCCCCTGTTGAAGACCTATGGTCTAAACCATGCATGCCGGCCTCTGACGGTGATAACAGCTCAGCCACTAGTATTGCCTTTGATTTCTAATCATTACATTTATTTTATATTCTCTGTTTTACTTATGCTATGTAATCCTAGCCCTGTTGTTTCCTACAATTTATGTAATCACGTTGCCTGAAATGCAGAATACAATGCTAGTTGAATCAGCCAGTATAAAGGGACGGCTCAAGATCTACCGACAGCAGATGGCTTAAAGAAAATGTTTGTTTTGAAAGAAATCCTAGGTACATATATGCATTTCTTTCACAAAGACATTTAAATAAAGGAAAATTATTATTTTAAAACTAATATATGTATAGATGTGTAGGTGAAGAAACTCACAAAGTAGAGAAGAGTTGTGAAAAAGGCAATACCCACCCATACCAGTTGGATGGATTCTGCCGCATGCTGCACCTACATTGTAATACATTCTCAACCTGTTAAGAAAATTATTTTTTTGTAATTAAAAAGCTTTAAAGATAAAGTACAGAAGCTGAAACCAGAAATCCTAATTATATTTATAACATGTTTTTGAAATAGGTTTTCTTCCAAAAAGCAATAATCATTTTGTCATAAAAATGTCTAAGTATTTTAAAGAGGAAAATTGTTTTTTAGTGAGAACCTCAAATCATTCTAAAATCCAAGTTAAGGATTATCAGCAGTCATTGTAATCTGATTGCAAGCTTAAATCTAACATGAATGAAGCTCAATCAGTGCTTAATGAATGTGTTAAGGACTGTTCCAAAATGTCATGACTTTTCTATACACAGCAGAAATCTCATAAACTGGCATTAAGGCAACAAAAAATACCTTCATAATTTTAAGATCAGAGAACTTTGAAGTTATGATTTCAAGCAAATCTAATCAAATTATATAAAAGCAAGAGGAGCCAAATTATCAATAGGAAAATACTGTTCCTCAGTGGTTAAAATAGACATAGTTTCAATGGTCCTTTCCTGACCTGTCCACAAGCAGTACTACTGCTTTAGGATGGAAGTCTGTGTCTCCGTCCAGAGCCAGGATGTATGTGTTGTCATCTGAAATGAATCTTCTCTTGTTGTCATTGTCGTACTGAGGCAAAAGGAAAATCTCCCCGTCCATAGAGATCAGACTTTCTCTAGCGGCATCCATTCGCTGGAATCACAATGATAGATATTAATCATATTTACCAGCCTATATTTAGATAAAAATGGATACAAGTTGAAGACTTCTCTTACCGGCATTTTTTGGGGGTTCTTGGTAATATAACCTTTCCACCCAAGCAGGTAGTACATGTACATTATCTGATGAAAAGGTTTCAATAATTATAAAAGTAACATTTTACTTTTCATAGTATACAAAGTTTCCTTTAATCATTAACAATGAATTTCAAACCATCAATAGAGTTAAATGATCTTTAGAGGGTTTGCACTTAAATGAGTGCAGACAAGTTTGTACGAGCAGAGCGGATCTTGCGTTTGCAGTTTGCAGCACATGCAAATTTTTTTTTAGCATGTTTGCATTTATTAATATGCAGATTATATTCTAATGACCAAACTACACAAATTCATTAAAGGATGACATGCAAATGTAAACATTTCCCACATGCAAAGCAATTTTCAAAATTGGGAACTGTGTCTTTTTCAATACTTCTTTTCTTGCTGTGATGACATTTTTTTCCTCCCTTGCATTAGATAAAACATTACCGTGCATTAAATACTTTACTTTATTTTACAACAGGACAGGATCAATTCCTTTGGATATTATACCCAAGCACTCAATTTTATTTCAATGATGAGAGATTTCAAATCTACTTGATGTAAAAAAAAAAAAAAAAAAGTTTGTAACAAAGCTGATGACCAACAGGGTTAAAAAAACAAAACAAAAAAACAACAAAAACTGATATAGGATATATTTTCAATCCATGAAAAAGTAAGAAAAAGCAACTAGTATATAGCGATAATCAGTAGTCTAGTTTAAAAAAAAAGAAGGGGGTTGGTGGAATTTATTTTTTGGAAGCATGTATAGCCTAATAGTTTATTAACCTTAAGCAATATGCATGGAATAATTGTTACATGTCAAGTACGCCAGTCATTGACCTTGACCAAAGGCACCTTATAGTAGAACTGCAGTCAGGCCCTGGACTGGCATGGCTGTCAATGCCCCTACATAGTTAGGGACTAGTTTCCCATTGGGATCAGCTTCATAGTCATGGTAGGACACTTCTTTGATTTTATTTACTTTGCTCCGGCTGCTCGTAAGCCCACAGCCCACCAAATGTTGAAAGGACAATATTGTTGCCATTACTGTTAATATATGGTAGTAGAAATGTTACACATTCAACAATAAAACGTCAAAGGGGATGGTATGGGGAGATGATAATTTAAGATTGAGATTATTTTTAAGATTTTTTTTTAAGAAGGGGATGCCATCCCCCCTCATCCCCCCTCAACTCTAGTACTGGCAATAATCCCTTCATGGTTACATTTCTGTTCCTTTGGAGGGTAAAAAGTGGTCTACTATGATAGAGTATGTTATGGTGTGAGCCCATACACTGACTTTTCATACAGAGCATGCAGCTGTATCAGGTATTTCAGAATACCATCTACATAGTAAGGTACCCACACAAAACATATGAAGCATTTTTCATACCTGGGACCATCTTTTTTTGTTGCGAATGAGAGATTTGTCCTTTAGGTGAACATAGAGCATGTTACCCTCAGGCAGGACAAACATTAACCTCCCGCCATAAGGAGTGTCTATGATGGATACATCGTCCGGCTCTTTATTGGTGAACACCCTACAGTGGTAGAAATTGGTGAATTGGTTAGAGTGTGTTTGTACAAAACATGACACAGTGGGCAGATAATATTATTTACCTGTAAACTTCTGTTACTACATGAGTCAAGTCGTTCACATATTCATTAACCAGCCGTTTTCCTGTCTCCTTCTCTGTCATGAATGCATCATCTACAAAGATGTGGCATTCAAAGTCAAAGCTGTCCTTGTGGTCCTCCTTGGGATCCCCTCGATAACGATCCAGTCTGTTAAAACAAAACAAAAGAAGCAAACAAAAAGTTATTTTCAGCACAAAAAATTAATAGGGTAATACCTTTTTTTAGAATTAAACCTTCCAGTTTTATATTTAACAGGGTATAAATTGTTCATATTTATCTAAGGTATGTGTTTTTACATACTTAATATAAAAAGCTTATTTAAATGTGTATCTGTTTAGAGGTGAGTTTTTATTTTTAATGTGTACTGAAAAACACGATTAATCTCTAGGCCAAATAAAAAAAAAAAAAATGTCATGATAAGTTGATTGTAAACAGCTGTGTGAAGTGAGTTGAACCCACAGTGTTCAGTGTTGGAAACACTCTCTCGGTACTGAAAGCAATTGTTACCTGAACATTGAAGTGAGAATCTTCAGCATTTCATCATAGGTCTCGTGCCACATTGTGGCACAGAGATAGATCACAACACTTTGGAGTTCATCTTGGCTATGGAGGGGAGGATAAAAAATGATTAGATGATGGCTTTAGTTCATTTTAGATTTCAGAACAACACTAATTCTAAACAAAATGTTTGTTACATTGTGTTGGGATTAATTAAACTTCTCTGTAGTGATATTTTACTTAAAGACTACACCTTTCCTTTTAAGACTGTTGGTCGGGATCATCTACTGCTTTCCTTAATGTAAGTTGATCAATTCTTAGTCTACAACATCTACACCTCAAAAATGATCCAGAAATAAGTCCATATTTTTTAAATTACATGTATTTACCCTTAATTTGAGTAGGTAGATAAGGTGATTTGCCAATGGAATTCGTATTTTTACTCTTGAAATAAGATAATTAGATAATATGCACTTGAAATAAGATAATGCAATTGTTTTTTCTTATTTTGAATATAAACTGTCTTGTTCCATTGTCAAAGTGTCTCACTCACCTCCTCAATTCAAGAACAAATGCACTTATTTTAAGAAAAACTTAAATTACTTATTTAGATTTCAATTTTTTTTTCCAGTGAGTCCATTTGGTTTGATTGTTAAAAGAAATATCAGATTTTATTCCACTGCTACACTGATGATTTTCACAGTCATCATATAAGAAGCTTTCAGTCCTGCTGAATCCTCTAATTGAACTACATATACATGGAAACACCTTCGGCCAAAGGCATGTAAAATTAAGGACATTTTCAGGGACTTTGGTGTTATTCTTTTTAACACTTTCCATCTATAAACATGCATCTAATTTTCAAAAATATCTCATTCCATCCTAAAATAGTTCCTACAGCAAAATGATGTAACACATTTGATGGTGATGTCTACAGCTTTAAAACTTCACTTTGAGACTTACTTCTCATTTGTTTGGGCCTTTGGTAGCTTTATCTTAGTGTTGAGCAGCATAGATAGGTCGATGAAGGCAGATTCATAGAGACGACGAACAAAGAGCTGCGATGTTCTCTCAATTCGCTGAACCTGGTTGGAATAAAAACATTAAAACATTAACATTTGAGCCTTCATGTGTGGTTTACTAAATAGCTTGTTTCCTCTAACATGTAATGTTAGACATAGCTTGGGTTTTACAGGTGGTTGGGTTAATAAATACTTTATAAAACCTTAGTTTTAATAATATGTTTTTTCTATAAAGTGAAGGATGGTGTAAATGCAGGCAATACAGTACCTGGATCTTCCACACATAATAGGTACAGGAGACCAATCCAGCCCACATGCAAACACCCTCCAGGAACAACATTGCAGTAGGCCATTGCAAGTAGTGGCTGTCAATTAAACAATGCATGCTTTTGAGAAGATTTTACACATCTACAAAGATTCCTATACATCTCCCAGGGTATTATATGTACCCATTAATATATGTGTTGAGAACATAAAATCCTAGGAGGTTTTAGCGCTGTTGTGCACAGTGTGCTATACCTGTTGAGTGAAGTACTGCAGATGCTACGGGTCATTTCAAACAAAGGAACATTAGTTGTGTTTTTGTCCGTTGCCAGATGCAAATGTGTACAAAATTCTGCAAGAATAAAAATATCCATGGATTAATTCAGTTCCTTGCACCACATAAGATGTCATACAGTGCACTTCTATTTACAGAAACCCTAGTAGTTCCCAGAAACAAGATGCTTCTTTATCTGCCCCAATATAATTTAATCAAATTACAACAAAAAATCTGATAAGGGGCTTAAATATCCAATTTAAGACACATGAAAATTACGTTTCTTGTGTGGAAAATTAACCTAATAAAGAGCAAAAAAACAATCAAAAAATGGTGCATATACTTGTCAAACTATCCTAAATATTTATTTCAGTCTTAAGAGGAAACAGTATGATGCTGTACTAAGCCAAAAGAGTTCATGCAAGGCATGTTTGTTTGCCTGCTCCAAGTGGGCCCTTTGATCCCTCTCAAAATTTGAATTAACTTTGTTATTCGAAATTATTATCTGTCCAAGGACTTTGGGATTTCCTGTGATACTTGTGAAATGAAACACTTCCTCTAATAGTATTTTTCAGTTTTGAGATTTTTAGAATAATTTTAATCTTTTTTATTCAAGTTTCTTGAATCATCATCCCATTATTTTCATAGACTTATTATTCAGCTTATAGATCTCCTTAGATCTGCAGACGGAAGAAACTTGTCACTGATCAAGACTCGGAGCTCTAGAAAAATGGTCGACTTACCAGTGATGTTTTTGTACTTTATGTCAACAAAGTTCTGTCCTTGTGTCAGCAAAAGTATCAGTCCCAGCAACAGCACTGCAGGACCCGTAGCACACAGTGGCAGTGCAAAACTCATGCGCACAGCATGGATCTTACAGGCAACCACCCCAAACCAGTGGCAGGCTGCCGAACAGAAGGCCTGTGGTAAAATACGGGTAAACGTTGTTTAAAGCTTGCATTTTGCCTTTGGAGGAATCGGTTTTATTTCTCAATTTAAGGTTCTGGCTTTGCAATGTAACCAACTGATAATATTACCTTGCCTATTAAAGAAAAAAAAAAAACAAAAAAACAAAGAAAGTGTTAATAAAGATAATAATGAGAACATTCTTGTCTTGTGGTCCTATTGACTGGCTTTTTTATGACTGAAGGTTTGCACTGTTAAATGTGATTTAAGGTCTGTTTAAGTAAATAACTAAAACAATAGCAAAATAGCATATTCAAGTTTTTTCAAAAATCTCTCCCAGTAACAAGACCAAAGAGAATATCAGTATTATATTATACACAATTCCTTTCATAGGTATTTCATAGGTAACTATCAGACAGTTTTCAACATACCTGTAAGAAAAGGAGAATAAGGCCTATTTGGAGGGTTTTCTGGTCTTTACCTGCCAGATTAAATTTAGGCCAGTCAATTGTCTTTGCAATAAGTACATGGTAGATGAGGTACACAGCTCCTGTAAGAAGATCATACCACATGCAGATTAAACATCGGATAGAGCACAAAGATAGAATTAAGATCCCAAAAAAAAAGAAAAACTAAAGTTTAAGGTCAAATAAGATTTTTATTTTATTTGCAAAGGCAAAGAAATCATAATATAATACTACAGAGTTGAATAAAAGTATCAAAACCCAGGACCGTGATCCACAGGGTATCTGAATTTCTTATAGGAAATGAATGTGTTTTTTAAAATTCTTTTTTTATTGTGCCTGTTTTAAGGTCATCATACAAATTGGTATTCATGTTAAAAAAAACAACAACACAGAAACAAAAAAAAAATCTAACTTAATAAATTTACCAAACACAAAAATGAATTATAACCGGTATTATATTTCTTAGTTCTTATTGTTTTTTCTTTTTTTAATGCACCCTTTTTGAAGGCTTTTAACATCCTTTGTGTGTGTAAATACAGTTTAACCTTCTTGGGTCAAGTTTCATGGATAAAAGAGGGAAGGACTTTTCAGATTACTCTGAGATTATTAAAGGTGTAGGGTTGAAAATTAATTTTCAAATAGAAGCATAATGACCAAGGAGCATGGCCAAAACTATTCAAGTTTGATACTTTTATTCTTTCTGTGACACAAAATAAACATTCACAATGTTTGTAGGTAAGAATTAAGCTCAACTCAAATATTCACTGGGTTTATCAAGATATTCTCAAAGAGCTCCTCTACGTCTGCTGACAGGTGACCAGGGAGAAAAACTGTTTTCCTGCACATTGGTAATAAACTCTAGCTGGTTTTCACCAATGGGTGGAAGCTAAGCACATATGTAATATAGTCTGTGGTTGCTGAGTTTTTTGTGTCTCTTTTCCTCTAACTACAGGACTAGAGGTGAAATATTAATTTCTTTACAACTTTCCTATATGTCATTAGGCTGATCAGAATTAATGTGCCATCTTTATGAGTGGTAGGAACAGAAATACAAAAAATACCTGGTATTCCTTATTCCTGGTTATAACACATCATAGGGCTTTAAATCCGAAGACTTTTTGTGAAATTGTGCATAATGTTGTTTCCATAAGTGCATCAGTAGATATTGATATATTTAAAAAATATGATTAAATGCAGATATTTTGTGCTCTTTAGTGATAAAATTGAGTAATGTCCTACATTAGACAAATTTAAAAAACATTTTTTTCAGGAGCTCTATTACTAAGAACTTGGTAGCAGAGACATGAAGCCATGGCTCTAAAAATAATAATAATAAAATAAAATGTTTAATAAACATTATCATTTCCTGATAAAACCTATTTACATATTCTTGGTTTTCTTTGTGACTTTTCTTCTGTCCAACTATATCAAACCAGTGATATCAAGCCATAATATTTCACATCATGTGAAATATTACCTGTGCATTGTTTGACTGATGTAAACTAACCAAGCATTGACAGCAGATAATTACCTATCACCAGTACTCTCAAAATGCTGCTGATGACAAAGACAAAGTCCTTGTAACGTTCCAAATCCTTCAGTGTTTCCTGTGAAGCAAGACATAAAATAGTTTCACTGGTTGTCATTAGCTGGCATGTCAACTCAGTGTAATATAAAGATCCCGCCCTTCAAGGGTTGAATGTTCAGCTAAAGATGGATTTAAAAGAAACATAATACCTGCATGCGGTTTTTAGCCTGGACAGCGTTTTCCCACCAGCAGAATGAGATGAGGATTGAAGAAAGAATCCCTATGCCCACGTATAAATAGCTATCATCTTTTTGTCGATCCACAAAGGATTTTATACGAACATAGTAATCCATCGCCAGCAGGCAGTAACCTGTAATTCAGTCAGTTATTTAGTCTCTTAAAATTACTTACATCAAAGCTCACATGCACCTTGCCAATGGGTATTACTCTGTTGGATTTTTATGTGTTTTCTTTTGGATGCTTTACTTACGTTCTTAAATTGGCCCCCAGACAGAAATAATCTTTTTTATCAAACTGAATCTTAAACAGCTGGTTTACCTTTATATCTATATTTACCACATCTTAAATAGAAGGTTGCAGTTTTGATTAACATTCAAAGAATTTTCAAATTAGTTTTCTATGATTCTGAGAGGGATAACTGTGACATTGTAGCAGTGTAACAGGAAAACCTGTGCAAAACGTTTTTTTTTTTTTTTTAAAAAAGCACAACGTCAGAATGATTTCTGGAGTTTTACCAGAAGTGGTGAGAAGGAGGGAGCAGATCGGGAACAGAATTTTCCAACTTTCCCTTTGCAATCTGAACACGATCTGTAGCACAGCAGAGATAATGCAGACTCCTCCACTAATGAAGAGATTCGTCAGGACGTCAAACTGAGGCATAACTACGAGGACCATTACTGAGGTACCAAGAGATACCACACACTCAATGAGACAAATCTAAAAAAGACAAAAAATAAGAATAAAAACTTAAAAATTAAACTTCATCGAAAAAATGCATAAGAAGAAACAAAACCAAGCATTTAATCTGTGCTGTATGTCATGATGTAATACATTAGTTATGTCATAACTTGTTATTCCTTTGATACATTTACCAGTAATTAACAGGATTTATTTCTAAGCATGCTTATAAACTTTCTAAAAGACCACTTATCTTGTAAACAAAGATTTAAAATTAGCAGTTAAGTATACTACAGCCTTATTACAGTAAGTAGTATAAGTAACATGATGTAACATGATGTAACATGAATTGCTAAAAGAAGTTATGGAAACGTACGAAGGCCATGGTCTTCATATTGGGTGATTCAAATGTCTTGAAGAGGCAGCGCCAGAGTGACTTCAAAAATACTAAGAAGTTGGGGAAGACCAGGCAGAACACCAGCATCAGCATGTAGAACTGTCGCTCACCGGGTTCACGGAATGACTTTGGACTGGATAGTGCCGCCAACATTAAGAGAGACCCCTGAAAGTAGATCAGTGATAAAGTTTTATCTTGAGAGATTAAAAGGAAGTCTGAAAAGGGAAAGAACAAAGGGGGATATAAAACAGAAAAAGTGCATCTGTTAAAGATTAATTTGGTGTAATAAGGATGTGATACACTAGGAAAGAAATGTAGAAAATAAAGCTTGCTCTAGAGCTGGTCCAAAGATCCATGACCAGGGAAACTGGACCGTCTGCGTTGGTTAATATCAAAAATTAAAAATTCAAGTGACGTTTGTTTTTTTTTGTTTTTTTGTTGGTTTCCCGACTGGCTGTGTGAAAATCTTTAAAATCCACCAGTTCAGTAAGAAAAAAATAATTTGATTCCTCTGTTGAAATTCTAAACTTGGCAATTGGAGGTTTATTATTTTTATTTCTGAAAAATAAATATTCAAAAGTAGCAAACATTCTTTTGGGATAAATATAATTGTACCTTAGAAACGACAGCACTGGCCAGGACGGCAAGCCCAACAATGACAGCCACAAGGTACTGAGCGAATTGGAAGCATCTTCTTTTTTTCTCCTTTTCCGCTCCTACAGGGTTCAGTTGGAATGGATCCCATGTGTCCCTGAGGTACAAACCGATATGTAAGCCATCAGCTTATCTCTGGACAAAATAAATAGTCATTTACATATTTTCTTAGATAGACAACTTTGAACTATTTTCTATGATCTGGTAGAATTATCTCTGTAAAGTGCCTTGTGATGACATGTGTAGTGAATTGGAGCTATATAAATAAACTGAATTAAATTAAATCTCTATAAATGAGTAAAATATAGAGAGACATATAATTTGGGAGAAAGTCATCCCCAAGTTTATTTGATAACCAGACGGGGGAGTCACAAAACCCCAAATGATTGTTTGGAGATCAAACTAAATTACCCGTAATCTTACCAGAGATAAAACAGGACAACCATAGGTATTTGAGTTTCAATCAACAATTGAACTTTGACTTTCAGAAACTCTGAAAAAACACTTTACTCCAACAAAGTAGCCAGATCTGGCTGAGTCAATTAGTATTGATCACCATTATGTCCAATTTAACTGCTCATAATGTTTGTTATGTAGATTAAGTAATTCATTTTTCAGGTAATTTCTATTGTATCTACCTTTTTTTTTAATTTTGCACCTATTTTGTTCTGTGTTTTCTTTAGTAATCTTTTAAACTGAATCCTCTTTGTTTAATTAAGTCCTTTCTGTCTACACAGGAAAGCTGAGTGACATCAAAAGTCTGGATCAACAGAAATCTCCACCACTCCATCAACCATTGTAGAGCATTTGAAGCAGTGCTATACAGTACATGGTGTGACCAAACTCAAATCCTCTACGGTCTATGCTACTTTTTAACATTTTAATGTGTACCCTGCCTGTAACAACTGAATCAAAGGACCAAACAACCTCAATAGTATGCAGTCAAGGTATAAAGAGCTCTCTGAGAGATAATATTTCATTCAGATGTGTGGAAATAGAGAAGTATCTAATAGTTTTAGGACACTGGCCCTTAAGGGCTGGAATTTGAGAGGATTTCTCTAGGGAGAAATACAAGAATCAAGCTTTTTAAACATGATGCTGAATGATAAAACATAACACAGCAAAACAAGCTCAGCCTCCTTTTCTGAGAGGATGCTATTTTGAATACCAATAGCATAAATCTGCTGATCTGACATGTTCTTTAAAAACAATTTCTTAAAATTACTGTAGGATCAAATGCCTCTTATTGAGATAAGACTCGTTGTGTGTAAAAACTCTGAGTTTGAGTTTTTCCTATCTCCTTTTGCATTTTATTTTTCGGTCCGCAGTAAGATGAATAGTTTTCATCATTGTTATTTGATTTATTATAATTTGTTGGAAAAAATACATGCTGTACAGTTGTGGTCAATTATGTGTTACCTTGCTTTTCAAATTCCTTTGCAAACGGTTTAATTCGCAAACGGGAAGTGTTGGCCTAGTGGTTAGAGTAGTGCACTTGTTCTCTAAGAACGTTGCAAGTACCAGGTTCATTACCACAGCCTCCACTGTGTCTCCCTGAGCAAAGCCTTTAACTCCCATACTGCTCCTTGTGTGCCACACAATGGCAGCCCACTGCCTCCCAAGGGGATGGGTTAGATGCAGAGAGTCAATTTCTCCATTGTGGGAAAATAAAGGATTTTACATTCTGTCAAAGATCATCACATAGATTTGTTTTTGATGTTTTTTTTTTCTGTATTTGTGTTTGTATTAGTTCTTACATCCTAATTTAGGTAAATGCAGTTGATGAGTCAAACCCAAACACGAAATGAAGAAACAATATTAAACCACTAATATAGCTTTATATCTCTGACTTTGATAGACGACAGGCGACCGAATTGCTTAACTTTTGCACCCCCACTGCTGCTAGTTTGATCATCATAAATAAAATGGTAATCAGGGTGTAGGCTGTTATTGGACAGATAACCCTTTATTTATCATTGGCTTTGGCATAACAACCATAAAAACACTTCAGATTGAGGATGAGCAAAGCCACAAAGGTGGTTAGTTTATATGGGATATAGCTGATATACAGCTTCAAGAAGGCTCTTTACAATCTGTTGTTATATAAACTGATTAACATTTTGGTGATTATTTATTCAGTTAACTTATTATATTGTCAAATGTAAAACTAACAATTAGGATAAAATAATTAATGCAAATTGCATTTTAACAGAATCTCTTACAATAAGTGAAAATAACCTCTTTTCACACTATACAAAGCACATAAATCTAAAATACACCTGGTAATAAGGAAGTATTCTCCAAATACTACTGATGTAAGTATTTACTTGATCTCCAGGCACTAAAATGATAAACAGGACTTTTGACCTTTTTAAAATTTTCCCATTTCCTTTTCCCTGTTCTACAGCTTTGTGTGAATATGTAGACACAGAGCACAAAGTCCACCTTTAGATGAATCTTTGTAGAAATCACAGCCCCTGAACTGTAATAAATGCTTTAAGTCAACATGGCTGTTCTTCTTTCACTTAGGTCAACCTAATAAAACCCTCTTGTGTAACAGCTGCTCTGTGGCTAATTGGCAACAACTCAAGAAAAAAAAAAGCAGCTCTCATGCATTCCATCAATTTTCTATAACTTTGCAAATCAAAACAAGCTGCTGGCAGAAGACAAATTAGGCATATTTAAGGTTGTGGCTCTTCATAGATATCACTGTGATGCTAAGTAAGAAAGCTATCTTTTTTTTTTTTTTTTTTTTTTTTACAAGAACTTTTAGAAGTAAATTTTATTTTTTTCAGCTTTTTTAGCAGCAAATTGTTTAAAATGAACTGGATTGGATGAACTATAGTTAATCATACTGAGCACTTTTACTCCCTGAATCCCACCTACCCATCCACACTTTTAGCATCAGTACTGTTCTAATTAAGGTTATTGTTACAGTAGACTCTAATAGTGAGGTTAGAAAACCAACAGCCTCGGAAAACATTTTCAATATATTTATGAAAGTATAAGAGTATTTTTTGTGAAACCAAATGTCTTCTTCCCAAGCAACATTTTGTTTAAAAACCAGATTACCCTACCTTCTATTTGAAGCTGTGGCTTGGCAAGGCAAGGCAAGTTTATTTGTATAGCACAATTTAGTATATAGAGCAATCTACTGTTGTTAAAGTATGATTGAATTTAGATGAGGGGACGTCTTTGTCTGGCAAGAATGAAGGCAGCAGAAATGGGCACAAAAGTTAAAATTGGGGTGACAGTGGCGTTGGATATAGGAGTTTGCCCTGAAATCTAAGGATTGACAGTTCAAGCCCCGGCCCTGACTTTCAGTGTCGTTGTGTCCTTGGGAAAGACACTTCACCTGCTGATGGTGGTCAGAGGGCCCAGTGGTGCCAGTGTACGGCAGCCCCGCTTCTGTCAGTGAGCCCCAGGGCAGCTGTGGCTACAATGTAGCTTGCCACCATGAGTGTGTGCGTGAATGGGTGAATGAATGTAGTGTAAAGCGCTTTGGTCAAGTTACCTGACTTGAATAAAGGTGCTATATAAGTACATGCCATTTAACATTTAAAATCTTTTACTGCATTAAATAGAAGAATGGGCAAACTAGAAGTCTGTTTGTGTGTTGATGTCCAGAAGATCAAATACAAAAACATTATATGCTTTTATGGTTTAGTAAGATTGAGTTAGTTTTTTATTGAGTTAAGTCGCTGTGGACACTTTTCTGACTAGATCATTTCTACTTTTTGAAGGCATATTTCATTATTTAATGTGTTTGCTATTTTAGACGTACCTGTATTTCAGATACACAAAACTATAAAAATTCTACTATTATTTAACAAATTAATGTACACAAAGTAAAAAATAACAGCGTTTGTGTAACAAAAATGTTCAAAGTGCACAATTTGCACTTTTATATTTGAATACATAATATTGTTGCTAAAATTTCTAAAAACTTTTGTTTAATTTTTGTTCTTTTGCCAATTTTTGAATAAAAAAACAACATATCTAATTGAAATTCTAACAATTAAGAAATAAATACAAAATATTGGCTATATTAATAATAAAACATTAATTTTATCTTCAGAATTGTATTCTAGTTCTTAAATTTCAGTAAGGGATCTGCATGAAAATATGTCACTATAAGTAGTAAATGATGGTTTATTATTTGTGGGTTTATAGGCTAACCTAGTGACATGATTGAAAATACAGAAATATGTTTTTAGCTTAGATTATAAACAACTGGAAGCAATACAATACTTTCTTTTTAGACTCCCCTCTAAACTTAATTAATGTCTTTATTTTTCACTTGTTTTCTGTACCTCTCTGATCACTCTTCCAATAAGGGGGGGGGACTAGAGCTTGTTCCAGCTGCTAATGGGAGTGGGTAACACATTGGACAAGATCATGGTCAATCATAATTACAATATAGTGCTGAAAGAGACACTAACTGAATCCTAAATTATATTTAAAAAAATCATAATTTATTTTGTGTTATAAAGTGGCCAGATTAAATCACAACATAATATGAAAAGACTCAAAGTTAAACTGGGAAATATACTTAATATACTTTACATTTTGATAAATAAAATCAAAATGCATGACCTTAGTAACCATAATCTTGCAGACTAAGATTTGTCTCAGAAATTCTAAAATGTTTATTTCTATTTCTAAACCAGGTAACCTGATTCCATATGTCCCTCACAGCTACCAATTTAGAGGATATGATTAAAGCCGTGGTACGTATTTAACATTTTTCATGCCCCATCTAACAGCAGGCAACATCAACGGGGGATGATATCCGGCATAGCAATAAAGAGAAACGCAGCAGTACTCAGGGGAAATTAAGTGTTCCCTCAAACTGTAAATAATATTTAATTGAAACCTGGTAATACAAGCAAGCATTTTTTAATCTTATCCGATACTAATATCTATCCCCAACAACAATTAACCTCCTAACAATGATGAAGAGGTTAATAAAGCTTGATTGTGTGCCTATGCACAAGGAAATAAAATAGACTCTGAGATTTAACCTGTCTGTTCAATTTGTTTCTCACTCTCTCTTAAAACAGGTATTAGGAGACGACTGGATAAAATGCCCTACAGATCTCTGTTTATTGAAGAACATGTGATGTTGAAATAATAAAATAAACTCACTCCTATGTTATTTTCAGCCTAGGCACTTTAAAAAATATATATTTTTAATTTTTAAAGAGGTCTTTCTTAGTTTACATATTTAACTTAAATAGTGCACCTGTGAGAGCATTTCATGGCAACGCCTAACAAACCCATTGCTTCCTTATGGTGTGACATCATGAGAAAATTTTATAAAAACTGTCAAGGTTTTGGGAAGAGATTTGTGGACCTCCACAGGCCTGATTCATCCTGATTACAATATCCAGAAGCAGGAAGTTGTCTCATTTATCTTGTGAAATAATAAAAATATAAACATGTCTGCATCATTCAGTTCAGCAGGGAGATGGATAAGCTTTGACAATAACAGATTTCTTTTACATTTGGAAGAAAATGGAAAATTTATGAATAACAAAAACACCATCCCAACTATGGACTATGGAGCAACCTCATGTTGTGGAAATTGTGTTTTTGTTTTATATTTCTTCAACAGGAAGGACTGGTGTTCTTTACAAAATACATAAAAAGGAAATAGCATTATCTGGAAACTAATAAATAAGAAGCATCTCAAGACATTAACTACTAAGTTTGGAAGCTTGTCAATAAGCAGTTATCATAAACATACTGCAACACATATTAGGAAGTGGTTCCATGAATTGTGTCGTGAGGATTGAGAATTCCAGCAAACCGAAGAGAAAAGCTTGTGGAAGGTTTACTAAAAATTAACCTTATCTTGTAAAAAGGGAGGTTAATGTATGTAATTATTGGACTTCAAAGAAAGTTACTGAAAATACATAAGAAAATAATTGCTCATAGTTCTGGAATTTCAGGAATAGAAAATATTTTTAATTTTAAATGACATAAAATAAAGAAACATATTAGGAGTCATATTTAAATACAGTACTTGGGGTTTTATTATACATAGTTATCAGTTTCTACTGCATGTATAAAATGGAATATATTAGGCATTTTTTAGACGTTTTTAAAAATATCAGGTGTCCATAACATTTACATTTGCCTCCCTAAACAAAATAGATAAACTAAGAAGTAAAAAAAAAATAATTATGATCAAAGTCTGCTAATAGGACCTCCATTAGCCTGCATGTGATTCACCACTCTACATTCACAGATTGTCAATATGGGTCTCAGCTCCTCTTCTTAAAAGATTCTTTTTGAATAAAAAGCAAATAAAGCAAAATTAGCAGGGCTGTTTACCTGTGCCTTCCCTCTCTCTTCCTCCCCCTGTGTTTTAGATCCTCCATTGGGTTGGTCTAATCCACAGCTTCAGCGAGGGCCTGAAATCAGTAATGGTTCCTTTTTCATTACCAACATTACAACATATTTTAAAAAAGGGAAACTTTTAGGAACATCAAAAGAAAAGAAATGAGAAAATAGCAGATTCAATTCCTTGATAATTCTTCTATTAAATGACAGCAATCCGAAATTATTGTTCTGCCTCTTCTAGACAAACTTTAGACCCTGATTTTCGTTTCCGTAGGCAAATGTCAGCAAACCTTAAAAAAATAAGACATCACTAATTGTAATCGACAGCTACGTGTGTAGTTCCCACCGAGTCAGTCACTGCCAGTCTGTGAAGCAGCTTCGTCTTTGTAAAGCTGTTTTATTTTCTGTTATCTATGAAGCTTATAAAAGAAACACCCATAAATGCAGTGATTTACAGCCCTCTCAGGTGTGTTCACTGTTATCAGAGTTTATGAAAGATAAGCGAGCCAGGAAGTACGTCTAAGGGAAATATATAAGCAATTCACCATGAGCATAAGTTACAGTAATAACTCCAGATCTGGGGTTTGTGTGTGCGTGTGAAGTAGACTCATCAAACTTTGTCAGTAATAAATAACTTTAGGCTATCTAAGCAGTTTTTATGAGAGCTGTAAGATTGTCCAAAGGTCATTTAGACTGAAACACATGACAAGGTGGAGTATAGCTGAACAGTATCCTCAAATGTAGCTTTAGATTCCATGAACCAGGAAATTTTTTTATGTGAGTGTGGTCTTTGGCATGTGTTATTGTTTTGGCGCCCCAGTTGTAATACATGAATACTGCAATACATAAAGTACAAATAACACTTTTTGTTTTAAAGATTTTATAACAATATGTTGAGTTACTTTATAATTGAGTTATTAATGATATAAACAGGCCAGAGATAAAGTTGGTTTATAGCAAGTTTTAGTTTGGTTTTAAAAACTTTTTACATCTCTCACTTATCTCTTAATCCACCATCAGGAAAAAGAGAGAAAATGGTAAAATTGTAAAATTACCAATATTTGAATTGTGCTGGTGAAGATTCTCAGTCCCCCAAGTCATTATCATTCCAAAATAGAAAATCAATCATTACTGTGTCTTCTTGATAGTGCAATTATATATGCCATCTGTGTGCAATGCTGTTGTACATAAACAGAATACGCTGAGCACTATCCTTACTGTGACCGGGACATGGAAGCTACAGAAAGCTAAATACAGGACAATGTCGGAAGAAAACTGTTAGAGGAAGTAAAAGACTGGAGATCTGGTTGGAGATTAAATGTCCTGCATTATAATGACATCATAAAAACTCTGAATAGTTTTGATTAAAATACTCATGTGTTACAATGGCTCAGCCAAAGTAAAATGCTAAAACCGAAATTGGATTTGAGGCAAGACTAGAAAATTTTGCTCCACAGACAACATGTGGTGCTTCTGAAATGAATAATCTAGGTTAATATAAATACAAACAATGCTTGGTGAAATATTGGATATTGTGTTGGTCCTTTCATTTAAGCAATCGAATATATTGAATTTTGCAGTTTTAATGTAGAAAAATGTGAACATCTAACAGATAACTAAGGAATCATACTTTTAAATACTGCATTACAAGCAGTCTTCATAAAGACACATTCTCTTAACAAATTGCACCAGACATGTTTAGCTCACCACAGATGATTATTGATTACAGATATTGGAGGCTAAGGGGTGTAAAAATATATAAAAAAAATACTTTTTAAAGCAACCATGTCAATATTACTCAGCCTGTCTGTGTTGATCACCACTGTGTGTCACTATAGAGCTTTAACTAATAAGGTTTGCGTCAATGCTTGAATGATCTTTTTCATTTCAGTTGTATGAATGTGCATTGAGATAACTGAACATATTTTTTCTGTAATTAAGGTTTGTTAATTTAATCTTCAAGAGTGTGTTTGCCACGTGCCTGCATGTTAATGCACCTGAGCATGTGTCTGTGATGTGGAATCAAAAGGAAGTCACTGTCAGTTTGAGGACTCTCATTAAGAAACCCTGGCAGTGTATCTGGCCATATGGTCATCATAACACAGTTTATCCTTCCTCCCTCAAGTAGTTTAGCTTGACAGCAATATCTGTGATAAAATAGAAAACAAAAAACAAATGGAAACATGTTCTACATAATTAATCTGGAAATGTCCTATAAGATTTCTAAAACCATCACTATTAACACACACACACACCACCATAGATATATGGTCTTGTTTTATTTATAATATTGAGCAAGTATTTTGTTAAATATCCTACATGGGGGAATTACAGGTACATATGGGAACATTCAACTTGTCCTCATACGGTAAAGTTCTGTTCTTTGAGTTGGGGTTACATTTAAGACTAAGGTGGGAATTCACTTTAAGTAAGGGTTAGAGTTAGATATATGTTAGTGATAGTTGGGTCTAGGTTAGACCATATAAAATGGATGCAAGTGAAAGAAATATCCCTATATATCATGAAAACAAAGGAGTGTGTGTAGGTGTGTGTGTGTATATGTGTGATATGTTAGCTAGAAATTTTCACTCTATGATTTCTGATCTATGAAATGTGGCTCACATCACAGAAATAAATTAAGTCAAAGCTTTTTAAATGCTCTCCACAGCTGATGCCACTCAGCTCTGCAGAAGAGGTCAGTAGTGGGGTACATCGACTTTGATTTTGGTCTCATGGAAATTTGTCTGTGTCAAAGCATAATATGGGTTGTGTTGATGTAAACCAAGGTGTTACAGTCACATGTACTAACTTTGTTAACACTTAGACTTAAGAAGAGTGTTTAGCAAAGGTAAGTTGTAATTTTAAGTGTGCTCCATGTGCTGTAAAAGACTAGTAGACTAGTAGAAATTTTGATTTTTGGAAAATGAATGGGTGGGGTGTTGGTGTTTGATCAGAGCAACAAATGATATGAGGCCATAATCAAGAATATTCTGGATGAAGACTTGACCACAGAAAACACAAAGTCTTTGTTTCCTTAAGTAGATGGAAATTATAGCTTTTAAGCCGTGATGCCCATTATGTAGTGAATTTGAGTTTCTGTTAGGTAGCACATTTCGAAGGCCAGGGGGTGTCATATAGACTGGGAGAATTACTGTGTAATAAAAAAGGAAAATAAAGCACTAGCAGATAAATGACTACTAAAAATGACAAACAGGAAAACCTTTAGTACCCCGAGGGCAGTAATTTATCATGATTGGGTTGAAAGAATTAAAAGAAAGGGGTCAAATTGCCTCTCTGAATCACTTTTCACTCCACGCTCCCTGTAATATTAAAAAAAAGCCAGACAAGCTGACTAATTCATAAAAACTTTGATTTTTATTCCACTGTGAAATCCATGTCTTAAAAGAAAAAGCAGACATTTGTCTTTTTTTTTAATGATGTTGACATGATGTTCTTACCTTCTTTTAGTGAAATGAAACAAAATCAGTCAAATATATTGCAAAAAAAAACTACATTTATAGGTTTAGAATAAATAAGAAACAGTAGAAGTTCAGAAAGAAATCACTTAATTAAAGCCTTTTTTTGGACTGCATTCTACAAAATGTGGTGATAATCTGTATTTTACAGGACCAGACTACTTCAAAAAAAGAAAGGGCTTTGACATAACTTTGTAAAATTAGCATAGCTCAACTTAAAATGCCACTTTTTTGTACATGGGGAAGCATGAAAAGCTCAACTATACTAGGAAATTAAACTGCGAATGACTGAGTGCATTTCACAATATTTTAATCAGCTAACTGCAATAAAATGGTGTGAAATCTTTATTACAGAAAGCTATTTTCTGTGTAATTTATTTGCTGTACTGTACTGTATGTTGCAGGCAGAGCTGCAAATGTGCGTAAAATAAGCTGAGGTAATGAGGAATGAATGTGTGCAGATGGCACACTATGTGTGCTGAATCAATCTGCTGAAACTCTGTTCTGAGTCAAACCAAAATAATTAATGACATTTCAGTGAAACCTGTTGGCTCAATCAGTTGCCTACTGCTACGTTTGATTAAACAGGTGTTGAATGGATCCTCTAAGTCTTGGAGTTTGCATATTTCCTTCAACTCTACAAAAACATGTATTATATGTTTATGTAGGTCTCAATTACCCATAAGTATCCTGATTTATATATGGATGTGTGTCCTTTGTTTTTGTGTTGGCCATATGATGGCCGTGAGCTGCCTGTATCAGGATAAAGCAGTTACTGAATATGTAGAGAAAGATAAATGTGTTCAGCTATATTGGACAGAGAAAAATGCTCCAGCAATTTCATTTTTCTCTCATATAGGAAACATTCTTGATGTGTGGAAAGATAGGATGCTGAAAATAAAACTACATATTCTGCTCCAAGCTGGAGACTAGATGACATGAAACAGCAAAGATTGTTTGAACCTCTTGACCAAAATACACACTGTGGAATTTTAAATCTATGGTTGAGTGTTTTTGAATCTCTAAAATTATTTCAATAAATAAGGGGACAAAAGGGGCCTCATATGACCAAATGGATTATCAATTTGATTTTAATCACAAGATTTCAAAATAATTTCTCAATCAGAGGATGAATGGGAGCTTGTTGTTCTGCTTTCAGAGTTAACAAGGCTATACAGTTAACTATATCTCTTTTACCAGATGGACACCTGCTCATTTGGTAAATGTAATGTTACCGTATAAGCTTTTGTAATTGGTATTTAATGTTATTTTCCAAATTATTTTCCAAGTATACCAAAAAAAAAAAAAGATACCAAAAAGCCAACATAAAATAGCAGTGCAGGTAGGAAACAAATTTTGTTCTCAACAAGATTTGTGATAATTTGTATGTAATTTAAAAGAAATTGAGTCTTATGTAAAATATTAAATATTTAAATCAAAACAATAAAAACTTGGAGGGAAAACTGACTAATAAACCATAGTATTTCTGTATTACTAGACAGCAATGAACAGCTAGACAGAAATAATATCTGAACCTTTATCAGGGTCAGTGAGCATACAGCTTGAGTAACTGAGGGCTGTTGTATGATCAAGAGGTTGAATTATGGGTATCAATTATAGTAACTACAAAAAGAGAAGAGTGGTTGCTGAATGATGTATCTTCCAGAGAAATAGATGAAAGATTGTCTTTCATATAAAGAGAAAACAAAAGCTGTTTGCTTAGTTTGTGATGAGGCACTGGCAAGGATGAAACAGTTAAATATGGAGCAACATTACAGAAGGAAGCATCAATAACTGAAAAACCTTTTGTGTAAAGTTCTCATGCTTTCCAAGAATTTGACTGCATTAATGGCAAAAAGCTAAGGCCTCAAAGGGACAACTTGTAAAGGGAATGCATCATGCTGCTACAGACCTGCT